TGGTGGTCACCTTCGCCAATCTTTGAAATGTTTTGGTACCTGTAGATATCTATAGACATTGGGGTGGTGACTTCTGAGTACATTCGAGCAGCTTGAGAAACCTAAAATACACTTCTCGTCCGAAAGGATCCCTGATATGCTTCTGCATTTATGCATCTTGGGGCCTACTACATAAAAATACTAAAGGTAAACTTATTCAATTTCACTCACCATACTATAAGAAACGAACAAAGTAAGTCAAAGAATCTTTATAGATGTATAACTCTGTCACGCAATAATAGCCGAAAACCCCAATACATAGAATAAGGTGCTCAAAAAGCGTAAACAAATTATTTTCAATCATTCTCCTTGAATTACAATATCGAATGGAAGAAATTACGATGTCGATCCATATCCCAATACCGATCACCTGAAAAGTTGCATAAAAGAACCAGATGTAACCCGGAATCTTTGCATCCTCATTTGATGTCCGAAAGAGGCCGGGTGGGAACCAGCCGCAACACAAGAGGAAAGAAGTCAAAAAAAAACACGTCGTCTCCTTCTTTTCCGAGAGTTTATAATCGGTTTCCAGATATTCGGCCATAGTGTCCTCAGTCATATTTTCATCCACAATTTCTTCAGCCACTTTTTCCCCCATTGTGATCTAAATCAAAGGTAAACTGCGAAGCTCAGTATATAAGAAAAATGCCAAGCCAAGAGCCGTGAAAAAGTTGTAGCTTCCGCAGGTCAAAGCACCTGAAAATGACGTTACGATAACAGATTCTGCTTTCCTCCCTTTTTATTCCTTAAACTTTCCGTTTCCATCATTCTTCTCAATAATTTCCTTCTGCTTTTCTTATCAGTACACCAGTACTATAAAATGGCTGCAAATTCGCGAGGCATTTTCTTATCAATACAGGTCCATTTCATTTGAATGCCCAGTGGGCTCCAGTCGATTACCAGCTCTTCAAGTCGTTTAGCTGCATTATCACAACTTTTCAGTCTAGAATATCGTAAAGGGCACATAGAGTACCATTACAATGACTTCAAAAGTTAACGTCAGCACCGATATCGACTCCATTTTGAATCAAAACGATGGTGGAAGGTTCCGAAACAAGTGGTGCTACGAAATCCTCCACCTTGAAAATATCGCGGACATTTTTCGTGGTGACCACAATATACTCAAAAGTACCATATTGCACGGCTTGAAGGCCAAATTTAGTTATCAGCTTGATTCAAGGTTGGGTAACTACTAATTCTCCAAGGCTAGTAGTATGCATCTTGCACCATTTCCATCTACAACCCTTCAAGACTCCTTGAGAAGCACCAGAACCGATATTATATTTTGAAAACAGTAGACTTATCGAAAGTTTCCTGATCTTCATTTCGATTCTATGTTATCGCATCTCGTAAAGTCGGGACAATAAACTTCCCCCTGCCATTCATTTTAACATATGAAAGAAGAGCCTTTGTGCTCAAGGATTTTGTACCGTAGGTTGAAGTTTATTGTAGACTTTTGGATGAGAAAATCCACAATATTTCCTGGTTTCTAGCCAGGACGACAAATTGGTTTATCTACCTTTGAGCCCGGAAATCATTGAATCTCACCGTGACCAGCTTGACTATTTATTCTAGCTGTTCTTCTCGTCGACCCATAATATGAAAACTCACAGAATACGTTTCCAAATTTTTGTATTAGGATACCTGTGAAATCCTTCAATTTCATCGAACCCGATTTCATTGAACCCAGGGTATTCTAGAAACTGAAGATTGACTGGCATCTTTGCAACTTCAATGAATTTAAACTCACGTCCTAGACGTAGTTGTGTAACTTTCTCAGCTCCAACTAAATCAAGTGGCAATTGATCAAGTCCAGTCCTTTGAGATCAAGGGCTCTTAGCTCCAGATCCTTTGGTATCGTAAGGCCTGATAATGCTGAATTTCCTTTAAGGGATAGTGTCTCAATATGGGACTTAACTTTCAATGAACTGAACTTGTTAGAACTTAAGTCTAGAAATGTAACTGTTTGCGGTATGGTCAAATCATCTATGTTTTGCAAGTCATTGTCATACAACGTTAGCTCATTCAAGCCGAGGGGTAGCTCGATCATTCTATTGTTGATTGTCATTAGGTTAGAATATCCCATATCCAATTCTCTCAATCTTGACCCCTTGGCGAATTTGACTCCACTCATACACGATAAGTTCAAGTACTTAAGGTGAAGTTCTTGAATTGATGATGGGAATGTGTAGTTTTGAAAAGCTCCAATTCCACCACTGAAGAGGTCTAAAACTTTTAAGTTAGGAGGCAATTCAGATATCTGGGAGAGTTCTAGCTCTCCGAATCTCATAACAAGTACTTGAAGACTGTCGGGAAGTTTGGGAATTACTTTTAAATTACTTCCAGTCAAGTTAATATACTCAAGAACGGGAGCTTCAATTTGAAGTTCCGTTAAAGAATTGTCGCTCAAGCACAAATGTTCACAGCAAGGAAGAAACGCTTTAAAAGTTAAAACCGCATTAGTTTCTAGTGAAAGTCTCTTCAATCGGGCTGGTTTTAGCCACTCGTCTGTCAGTTCAATTTCACAACAAGCTAACTCAAGGTCGACTATTTCAGGTGGAAAGAATTCTTCCAAGTCTTCAAATTGAGCCCACTGAATCGAAAGTTTGCGCAAGCTGGCCGGTAAAGAAAAATTATAGCCGATGATACCTCGTGGTTTGTGCAATGTAAGGTTGATCAAGTTGGGCGGTAATTTACAATCGTTGATGTCACCCGATGGCTCCCATAATGTAAGGGAACTCATTTGGGTAAAGGTAGTCAAATTTTGGAGGCTTCCACCATACAAGGAGTATAATGAGCGTAGCAGGGTGGGAATCCTAGCAGAAATTGGATCTGGGAATCCAAGGCTTGTCATTTGGGGACCGACCATGGTGAGGACTTCATCCTCCTCCATTATCATACGATATTCATCATCGTCTCTATCCCATTGAATGGTATACGAAAAATGTTTCAAATCATCGTTCCAGACTACTCTGAATAGCGAGGTGAAATCAAAATGTAATTGTGTACTTTTTAGAGACAACACTTTGAGAGCTTCTAGCTTTGGATGGTTTCCAATCATTCTAATCTTGCAGTTTATCGCGAACAACTTTATCAAATTAATCGGTAATGTGCTGAAAGTCACCAGGTTGAGAATTACGGTCTTCAAGCTGGGGTGAGAGGGGTCAACTCTTAATTCACAGCATTCGCCATAAAACGTTTCCAATTTCGGGAAATCATTCAAGTCGATGAAATATCCAGGAAAAGGATTCAATGAAAGGCAAGTGATTTTGAGATTAATATCATGATCTGAAAAAATAGGATAGACTTGAAACGCCGGGTCTTTGAAGTCAACACGAATGCCCAATTTTTGGCCATTGTAAACCAGATTTATTTCATCAAGATCTTTCTTCATGTTAAAAATGTTCTCCCATCGACAATGAAACCAAAGAGGACATTTGAGAGACTTCTTTTCAAGAATCTTGTGTATTCGTAAAAACCGGTCAACGTCCGTTACATTGTAGACTCCAGTACCTTCAATACCTTCAGTACCTTCAATTGTTCCTATATCGATCCCCCGAACTTGCTTCGAATGCCATAAATTATTGCAATTCTCAGCTACAGCTTGGAGTATATTTCAGGAATGTTCTCCAACAGTAATATTTTGACGAGATGTTTTGTGCTCAAGTACGAAAAGCACCGTGTGATTACCTCACATGGTAAGTCATTAAGATTCATTATTAGACTTTTAGGCGCTCCCACTTAATATAAAGTTTAGTGCGGCGCACGGCAATGAAACGCGGGACCCTGAATTGTATCACGTGACCACGGAGTTGGGGTACTTTTAAGCACCGCATGAAAACCCACAAAACCACCTCTTTTCAGCATGTAAAGCCACTTTTGTCTACTTCCACTATCCCACTATACACTAGACCAAGCCGTTTCTCTCTCTCGCATTTGTGTGAGGAGACAATTTCTGGTTGCAAACCATATCACTTTTTCAACACCGCATTTATGAACCGCGCACGCCTCGGCTGCAAGAAATGAACGGCTCGGCTCGTAAACATGCGCACGGCTCCAACTTCACAGCACTGATTGGATGATGTGTTTGTAGGTTTCCAGGCTTGAAAGAATACTTAGTTACAATTCAATAAGCTATTCTTTTATCAATAATATCAATAATAGCTTTCAAATACTTAAATTGTTATTAGCCGTGTGAACGGAGCCGCACCCAGCGAGATCAATGGTACTTGGAACAGAACAAAACACCCAAAAGGAAGAATATCGAAGATCACGAAGGGAATGATATTGTTGCAGCGCAGTATTGATCGAGGAGTGTATGATGCAGCCACTGCGCAGGAGATTGCAGCAAAACGTCTCGGCCATATTGCGCCAACCATGGCAAAGATTACAACAAAAGCTTAAAGTACCCCCACAGTGAAAAATTCAAGACCTCGATCAGGAAGCTTTTAAGGGGAAAAGCTAGCTTGGCATACTACCGGAAATTTTCTGCGATCGTCATTCTACGAGGAAGAAGGCAAGTACCAGGAACGGCAAATTCCAACAAAAGGACCAAGAGGCCATGGAACACTAGAGGCAGCAAGTACAAAACCAGGATGAAATTCCAAAAGAAGCTGCTTCACGCTTCAAAAATATAAGTCCGGGGGGGCTAATGAGAAGGACAAATAGAGTTTAATTCCATACGCTTATCGGTGGCTTAGGTTTGCAACCAGAAACAAATTGGAATGAAATGTTTCAAAATTTGGTTGCAAGATTTGATCACCAATTCAAAGTCAATTGTGAGGTAATGCTCAAATAACAGAGCACTACATCTAAGGAAACTAGTCAAATGAGCACTCTTATGGTACTTTGTGAGAAAAGTGTATAATTTTCTGAAATTGCAAAATTTCAAATTAATTGAAAGTGTACTTTTGATTCGGAATACTCTTGGTTAACTAGAAGTCACGTTCAGAAACCTAGTTCAGCAGCACAAAGACAATCGCACGCCATCCTCGCTTTGAGAATCCCATGGGTAGTATTGTACCGATTGGGTCAATTGCACGAAATGTACCTGAATTGATGGATCCAAACTCATATTATTCTACTATACTCGTACTCGAAATCTCATATTGTGTTTCCCAAAATTTCATATAGGGTTCGAATTCAGAACTGACCAGGCTCCATTGTTCTTGAATGACGTAATATGCACAATGAGTACAATGTACTGTCGACTATAAAGCTGCGAACTTCCCGTGAAAAATTTACCCCACAATTTCCCCCGCATTTTGAAAAATATGCTCTCAGCGGGCACCATAGGCAAACTTGCAACCCTTCCATTTCGACTTTTATGGGTGATAATATTGTACTACTTGGGCTTCCCTGCCTTCAGAAGATACCATAATGACTTGAAATCCTGCCTCAAATTGACAATCTTTAGAGATGCCTTGGCATATAAATTCTCCGATTACAAGTATATACCCAGTTTTTCCAACGACTATATTATCGGCAATTTAGTGCCATTTTTATACAGAATTAAAACAAAACTGATTCCTGGATACGGCACCCGCCATGATAACAACTCTCTTTGGCTTGTCAAGCAACCTGAGAGGAAACCCTCCGATCCAATATTAATATATCTTCATGGTGGAGGTTACTTTTTGCAAACAACCCCAAGTCAGATTGTGTCAATGCTTGCTATATACAAGCTTCTTGATCCTGAGGCTCAGTCCAGATTGTCCATTTTGCATCTAGACTACAAATTGACATCAAAAGGGTTCCATGTTCCTCATCAATTGAACCAGTTACATGAAACATATGAAGCTTTAGTAAAGGCTGGAAGCACAAATATTATCTTGTGTGGAGATTCAGCAGGAGGAAACTTGGCTGTTGGGTACACCCAGTACTTGAAGAAAAGTGGGAGCACTTTGGTTCAGCCAACAGCATTAATTCTTATTAGTCCTTGGCTTGACATTAAACCTACTGACGACAATTGGCAGCCCACTCGTTCATATTACGAGAATGAAAAGCGAGATATGATCAGATTTGGTGCTTTTAAAGGCGATATGCTTAAGGAAGGTTTTGGAACGGTTGATCGTAGTGACCCAATATACTGTCCGGCTCAACATCCAATTAACAAAGCAGATTGGGACATCGACTGCTATAAAGATGCCAACCATAGCGTATTCATGGTATGTGGTGAAGATGAGTCGCTCAGAGACGAAGCTCTAAGATGGGCAGAGGCAGTTTTGGATGTTCCTTTGTTCTCGGCTGTCCTTTATGGGAACTCAGAGGGAAAGTATGATCCTCGAATTCACCATTTCCATCGGGATGGAGATACTAAGCATTGCCGAACCGATGTCTATGTTGAACCATGGGGTATACATGATGCTGTATTCGTTTTCGAAAACCCTGTCATGAGTAAAATCAATGCAGCCGAGGCTAAAGGTCTTAAACTTGGGTATGCAGACTTGGATGAAAAATACTTTGGTATCAAGCGGGCGGCAAAGTTCCTCAATGATACTATAGATAGGAGCTAACCATCCATGTCGTCTGGTACTATCACTTTTTGCACCCAATATTGATCTCAGAAATGCGAACTTACTCGTCAATCAAATTGCAATGAGACTTAGCACTGAAAAGAACAAGAGGCTCAAACCGATAGAGGAGATAAACTCTCGTATACCTTATCTAACACTCTAACATGATTCTCCAAAACTTTCCAGATGACTATAACTTTTGAAGCACACTTAAACGTAAACCATAAAAGTGGAATGATTGAAAGAAAATTTTAGTCTCAGAACCGTGGCAGCTCCTTGCATATTTGGGGTATTCTAGCTGTTATTCTCGTGGTGTGAAAATTCATAGCAGACGTCTGTAAATGCTTGTACCAGGATACCTGTGGAATCCTTCGACTTCAAGAGTACCGGGACCCTGATATTCCAATACTTGAAGATTAACTGGCATTTTCGAAAGGTCTATCACTTTATGCCACTGCCCTAGACGTAGCTGTGTGAGTTTCTCAGCGCCAAAGATATCAAATGAAGATCCCTTCAATAAAGTCAGTGTGAGGTCAAGAAACTTTAGCTCCAGATCCTTTGGAATTGCAAGACGTGAAAGTCTATTTTGATTGAGGTATAGTGTCTCAATATGAGACTTAACTTGCAATAAATTCAAATCATTTTCTCTCAAGTCTAGAAAAGTAACTGTTTGCGGTATGGTCAAATCATCGATGTTTTGCAAACGATTGAGACACAAGTTTAGTGATTTCAAGCCGAGGGGTAGCTCGATCATTCTATCGCTGATTTTCTTTATTCGACATATGCTCATATTCAATTCTTTCAATTTTGACCCTTTGGCAAACTTGACTCCTCTCATATCTGACAAGTCTAATTTTGTAAGATGGAGTTCTCGAATTGATGATGGGAATGTATGCTTTTTAGGAGCTCCATAACCAGCTCCCGAGAGGTCTAAAAGCTTCAAGTTAGAAGGAAATTCAGACATTCGGGAAAGATGTAGTCTATTGTTACTGAGAACAAGTACTTGAAGACTGGCTGGGAGCTTGGGAATTGATTTCAACATATTTTCACTCAAGTCTATGTGCTCAAGAACGGGAGCTCTGATTTGAACTCTCTTTATTTTATTGTCGCTCAAGCACAAAAATTCACAACAGGGAAGAAATGCGTTGAAAGATGAAAGCTTATTTCTTGAAAGTGAAAGCCGCTTCAATCGGGCTGGATTTAGCCATCCGGTAGTCAGGGTAATACCACATTGCTCCAATTCAAGGTCAACTAATTTTGGTGGGAATTCAACTTTCGGAAAGACGTTAGAACTAGCAGACCTAATCGAAAGTTTTAGCAAGTTGGGCGGTAATATCAAAGTGCCAGTGATATGTGATGGCTTATTCAATGTAAGGGAAGTCATCTGAGTAAAATCCGACAAAGTTTGCAGGCCGATACGATCATGGAAGAAAAAACCGCTACTACGATTGCAGTTTAATGAGCGTAGCAGCTTAGGAATCCTAGAAAATGATTAGCCAGCGAATCCAAAATGTAGCACTTTGGGGCCAATCATGGAGATGAGTTCATCCACATCTGTTACCTCATAACCGATATACGAAAAATGTTCCAAATTTCCGTTCCAGAGTATTCGGAGTAGCGAGGAGTAATTGAAAGGTTCTTGTGTGCCTTCTAGAGCCAAAACTGTGAGAGCTTCTAGTTTCGGATGGCTTTCATTCATTTTTATCCAGCACCTTTTCGCAACCAACTTTATCAAATTAATCGGTAATGAGCTGAAAGTCACCTCTCTGAGATATAAGTTCTCCAAGCTGGGATGATTGTTGTCAACGATTGTCTCGCAAGTTTCGCCATAAAAACTCTTTAATTTCGGAAAATTATCCAAATTGATAGAACAGTTATAAGCGAAACTCAATGAAAGGCAAGTGATCTTGAGATTGATATCATGATCTGAAAAAATAGAATAGTCTTGAAGCTCCTTGCCAATCAAGGTGCCATGGATGCCCAATTCTTGGCCGTTGTAAACCAGCTTGATTTCATCGAGACTTTGAAGCATTTGAAAAGTGTGGTTCCACGAACAATGGAACCAAAGAGGACATTTGAGTGACTTCTCTTCGAGAATTTTGTGTATGCGTAGAAACCGGTCGAAATCCGTCTCATAGTAGGTTTCAATACCTGCAATACCTTCAATACCTCTAATTGTTCCTCCATAGATCCCTAGAGTTCGCTTTGAATAGCATAAATGGTTGAGATGGTCAGCTACAGCTCGAACTATGTGATCATCAATGTTCTCCAATAATATTATGTTGCTGAGCAGCTCTGTGTTCAAGTAAGAAAAGCAACTTGTGACTATTTCGTACGGTAAAGAATTTATGTTCATTCTTAAAGTTTCAGGGGTCCATTTACATGGTCACAAAAAAGTGTTCAGATGAAAATGCGTTATCATGCATCAAGCTACGCCATCCCACATGAGGCATGACACTTCAAAACCAAGCATACACCGCCATACCACTTGACCAGATCGATCCCAACACCCTTAGTGCGGTGACTTTTATCCCTGATTTTACCTGCGTTGTATTAGCGATACGCGGTGTTGGCTGGTGAGATTTAATTTTTTGTTTAATTAAGGGAGCTAGGGTTGAAAGAAACAGGTTGAAAACTTGAATGCTTTGAGCATTTGAATAGTAGGTAGCCGCAAAGAGGTTTTTATCGGAAATTCAAATCATCTATTGGTTTGAGCTCAATTCTCATTCAAGTATTTTCGAGAATTGAGCAAAGGACCAAAGTTATATGCAGGTAAACGGCTGCAAAAATTCAGCAAGATCAGCTGTACCTTGATAGATGTTGATTACATTGACCAACTTGAGGATATGGAATGCTTCTTTGTGAATCCTGAAATGTGGTAAGTTGCCGCTTGTTGTGTTCTGCATTTCAGGGGTATACTTTCATACCCAATAAGTGCACAATTATATACTTTTACAAAATTCTCAAATTTCTCTTATTCTGACAAATTACAGATCTAAGCTTTCGATTGGAGCATGAATATGTAGATTGTCATGGATTTTGATATCTAGACTGCGTTGAAGATTTGAAGCAAAAATTCGTCTCATCTTTCTACTCAAACAACCAAGATCGACAATCTCCAAACTTTTTTGAATCAAACTCTGTACATTGCGTGCTTCACCCTTTCTTTCTAATCAGCGTACTTTGATCTAGCTCGAAGCTTAGACCCTTTTGAATTGAACAATATTGGAATGGATACCATAGCAGCAGCAATAAACCCCATGATACTACAACCCCAGCCAACCGGAAATTTTTCGGGACCCAAATTCAAAAACATTCTTCTACCAACTAATGGCAAGGCACCTCCGATGAAAGACCTGAACAATGCATTACCAGCAAACACAGAAGCAACGAACCTCAAAAACGACATAGCAAGATAATTGAACAATGCTTGAAAGGTTATAAATGCCCCAAGAGAAAAAATCGCTGATCCTATAATAGGAAATACCCAGTGTATGCTAGGTGATGCAGTCCAACCAAAGATGAAGACCCCAATGGACATTGCCATAGCAGAAAATATAGTCATGGGAATGAAAACTTCAGGACGAACATCTTCACCTCTTAGTACCTTTCGTGTGAAAATATGATAGGTTAAGGTAGTATAAATGATACTTCCAATCAAACTACCAATGATAACACCCATGTAGGCCACTCCAGTCAACACTAAACTGAAATTATGGACCTCCTGGAATACGATTGGGAAACATTCAAACCACAAATACATAATTGCATACACCAATGACAAGTATATGTGGACCATAAATACCATTGGCTCGCGGATTGTGATTTCGATTGGTCTCCATAAAGTATCAATGATTTTTTCGTTGAGCGTCATCTGGTGAGTGGTTAGTTCGCTGCGGCTAACAATATTTTCATTCCCAATCATCTTGCGTAACCGAACAGCCTTACGGTGTAATAAGGCATTCTCATTAGTCTCAGGAAAGAAGAAAAAAACCAATACCAAAGCAAACCCGTCTAGTATGCACAATATCCAAAATGTCCATCTCCAACTCGTTTTCACCACTAAAACAGAGCCAATTAATGGACCGAACGAAGGACCTGAAACTGCAGCAACGGACCATAGTCCAATTCCAATAGGTCCATACGCAACACTCAACACATCACATACAGCAGCAGGTCCTATTGATAGACAGGGGGAGGCGAAAACTCCAGTTAGAAAACGTAATATACATAGTCCTGCAAAATTGTGAGCCAACGCTAGTGGAATTTGTAAGAGGACAGAAATAAGCAACGAAGAAATATACAATGGCATTCTTCCAACCTCTGCATTTTCAGAAATGGGGGAGAATATCATTGGACCAAACCCATATCCAAACACGAATAAAGTCAATGGAAGTGTAGCTGCAACATGACCCACATTAAATGCCTCTTGAATATCTTCAATTCCCGGAACATAAATAGCTGATGCCAAATAAACAGCAAGCGTTAAAAACGAAACTTGGAAGCAAAATAAACTTTGTTTGAAAGTTGACCAGTTTTTGGGATTTTCGGGATCTTTTGCATTATCCCAAGTTATCTCTATGATCTCTTGTTTCTTGCTTATGTCAATATCCAGACTCAATGAAAATAGACCAGAATATTCCTGAGACTTTTCTGAAACATATTCTCTTGTTTCATACGAATGCTTCAAGAATTTTTTATTGGATAATTTTCTTATAATGATACCAAACAATGTTTCCTGGAAAAAGTTGCTTCTCATATTTTTTGGGAACTACCCTCCACTTCTCTAGGTACGAATTACGAGTAAATCCACCATGTTAAGGATCTCCGCGTTTTATAACCTTGAACGGAGCAAATATCGCAACATCTTGGCGCTTTGTATCGATATTATAATCATTGCAAAATGAGCTTTCTCCAGGACGTCCTCGGAGTCCGCGGACATAAGCCGCACCGAACATTAATTTGAGAATCTTGAATTATTCAGCCATGAGATGGATAACAGATAACGTGATGCTTATAAATGAACTTAGAGACCATGTCTCTATTTGGTTCTGCAATTGGATTAGAAGCTAGTATGCTCAAATACGTAACACTCAAGTGAGTAATGAATGAGATATAGGGATGGAAGAGAACCATCTGAAATCCGATTGTGACTTAATCGGGAACCGCTAGTCGACAAGAAGAAACAGCCAGCCTGAGATCTACATTCACCTAATGAGGGAAGAGGCTGCTGCAAATACGTTGTTTACAGTCTTCTCAAGAATGACTGGCAATACGTACCAACTAAATATTGAACTTTTAAAAATTTGCAATTTCACATATAAATTTATTCAGTACTTGCGCTTGAAGACAGTTCTCGGATTAGCTGTATATTATCACTAATATACACTTGAGAAGGCAATCTCGGATCAGTGCCCGTAATCTCTATTAGCGAAGAAGTTCTCCAAATATGATTCCGGTCTGCTGCAGGTTCTTCCCAATCGGGTAATTTTTTGCAACCATTATCCTTGCTCTATCTATCCATATCTGGATCTGCTACTGTTGCATACTGGAGGGTTTCATAGAACTGGATTAACTGATTCTAAAACAGCGCTTCTCCCAACACCATTGTAGAGATATACTGATTTCATTGCGAGAATAGTTGGCACTGGGGAAATATCAAGATTGAACAAAATCAAGACTAACTTATGTTTCGTAGAAATACATTGTATAAAAAAGCACATCAACAATGGTTTCTCTGGCCACTTTGAGAAACTGAATTCATATACTATAACGTAAATTTTTATATTAAACTGACTTTGTCTATTTTCTTCCTCACCACAGCTAAAGTAAAACCCTAAGCCACAGCTTCTGTAATATTCAGTGCGAGTCCTAGTTGGTCTTTTCGTGATCCAATATAAACTCATAGCAAACTGCTGTAGATATATGATTCGGGCCCCGTTTTGGGTTGTATCAATGTACAGGATCCACCATCATAATGCTCTAGAACTTGAAAATCGACTGGCATATTCGAAAGATCGATCTTTTCGAGCTCAGCACCTAGACGTAGTTGGGCGAGTTTTGGAGCTTTAACCATTTGAAATGAAAACATTGTTATTCCAATACCTGTAAGATCAAAAACTCTTAGCTCCAGATCCTCATGTACCGTAAAATTTGATTTTATTGGATTTTCATTGAGATAGAGTGTCTCAATATGAGACTTAACTTCAAATGATTCCAAATTGTTTTCTCTCAAGTCTAGAAATGTAACTGATTGCGGAATGGTGAAACCATCTATGTTTTCCAAGTTCATGCCTTGCAACTTTAGTGCCTTCAAGCCTGAGGGGAGCTCAATCATTCTGTCGTTGAGAGTAGTTAATTTAGAGAAGTCCATTGTGGATAAATCAGAATCGCCCAATATCAACTCTTTTAATCTTGATCCTTTGGCAAATTTGACTCCACTCATTTTTAAAAAGCCTATTTGGCCGAGGTTGAGTTCTTGTATTGATGGAGGGAAAGTGTAGTCTTCAAGAACTACATCTGTAGAATCCGCGAGGTCTAAAACCTTTAAACTAGGAGGCAAATCAGACATATGGGTGAGTGCTAGGTCATAGCCACTGATAATAAGTACTTGAAGACTATCTGGAAGTTTCGGTATTGACGCCAATAAAGTATCGCACAAACTGATATGCTTAATAACGGGAGCTTCGATCTCAAGTTCCGCTAAAGGATTGTCGTCCAAGCTCAAGTATTCACAGCAAGGAAGAAAAGCTTTAAAAGGTCGAAAATTATTGTGGGCAAGTGAGAGTCGCTTCAATCGGACTGGTTCTAGCCAGCCGATAGTCAGAGTGATATGACAATGTGTTAACTTGAGGTCAACTATTCGAGGCGGAAAACTGATTCTTTCCAAGTCTTGAAACTTAACACACGTAATCGAAAGTTTGAGCAACTTGGGCGGTAATTTCAAAGTGTCGATAATACCTGAATACGGAAAAATCGTGAGGGAAGTCATTTGAGTAAAAGCGGTCAAATCGTGAAGGATAATACCATTATAAGACGGATCAGCTCTTACATTCTTGGAGAACAAAGAGCGTAGATTTTTAGGAAATCCAGAAAACGATGAACTAGCAGATCCAAAATTCATCACTTTGGCGCCAAGCATGGAAATGGCTTCATTCACATTTATGACTTCATCCATAACTTCTTCCTCATCATCGATACCCTCAGTATACGAAAAGTTTCCAAATCTTTGTTCCAGAGTTTTTGAAGTAGTAAGGGACAATCAGAAGAGTGTACGTCCACTAAAACCAACACTCGTAAACCTTCTAGTTTCGGATGGTCTTCCTTCATACTTATGTAGCAATATCTTGCTACCAACTCTTTCAAATTAACTGGTAATGAGCTGAAAGTCACCCCTTTAAGATATAAGTTCTTCAAGCTGGGGTGGGTGTGGTCAACAGTTATTTCGCATTTTTTGCCATAGAAAGTTTCTAAATTAGGGAAATCAATCAAATGTACACGGTCACAAGCGTACAATGAGAGTTAAGTGATCTTGCGATTAATATCATGGTCTGAGAAAAAACGAACACATTTGGACGACATGTCTGTGAGGTCAGCACTTATGCCTAACTTTTGGCCACGGTAAACTGAGTTTATTTCATCGAGATTTCGACGCATCTCAAAAATGTTTTCCCATTTATAATGGAACCAAAGAGGACGCGTGATGGACTTCTTTTCGAGCACCTTGTGTATGCGCAGAAAGCGGTCGAACTCGGTTTCAAAGTGAAACCAGTAGCGAGAAATTTCATCGTAATTTCGCACGAAACCGGTTTCATAGTGTTCGTTAATAATTGCAATTCTGTTCTTGCCTTGAAGTCGGTTTGCATACCATATATGGTTGAGATTGTTAGCTGCTGCTTCAAGTATATAATCGGGAATATTGTCCAATAGTATTATATCTGTGAGTAGATCTGTGCTCAAGTGGGAAAAGCAACGCGTGAGAACTTCACTTGGTAAGCCATTTAGATTCATAAGTAGTGTTTGAGTTTGAAGTTAGACTCTGAGTTGAAGTTGAGGGGTAGTAATGTGTGCAGGATGACGATTGGCTGCAAATTCTAGATGCGTAAAAAGGGTCGAGATGTGTTTCGTAGGGCTTCGGTATCTGCTATTTTGTTATTTCGACCTTCGGAATTTACTTCGAGTGCCATAGATCCATTACCAAACTTTAAGAGATTCCATTTTCATGGGGAAAGAAACCTACAATTTTCTTTGAAAGCATAATGTAGAATGTAATACAATATTATAAAAGACTGAAGGGAGTCACGAATCAATATACCAACAAACGATTGCAGATATAACCTCCTGCTGTTAAAATCTAGCGGTGCAAGTACAATATCATATACCAGATCCGTTATCTTCTTCCCTCGCACAAGTGTCATTATTCCTATAGGTATATGACGCTCGATTTCAACCTTTTGGTAGCACTTCTGTCCTATCATCGTTCAAGGTCTTTTGTCTACTCCACAATATCTGTTCATAATTTGACAAAATATCAAGCTCACTAGCAAGTACCTGGCCCTCCACCTTTTCCTGATCATTTATGAAAACTTCAACATCATGAAGACTATTGTAATTGGTAACATTATCACAATCAATGCCGAGCGCATTGACTTATTCATTTGATATCTTGAAATACTTTCCATCTGGACCCACTGCTCCAACTAGATACCATTCATTATTGACCTTGTACTGAGCCCCATTCGTTTGTATTAATAACAAGTCGCCTACATTAATATTTGAAGGACCTGACTCATAAATCACTACCTTGGATCCATCAAATAATTCGAACATATATGGATACTCGACGGGTCGATTAAGGATTGGATAGCCGTATTTACTCCAATCAGTTGAGTTGAAGACAATTGGGCCAGTATCTGGTTCTGTTGCAGTGACAGGTCTAAAGTAATTGAGGATTATTGATATAATTGATAATAACATAATTATAATAGAACTAAAGAAATTGATACTGATAACAGAGATTGTGCAGATGACAATGCGTCTACATGCGCGTCGATAAGCCACATTGAGTGGGGCGCGGCGCATCCCAACACCATATCTCTTCACATCCCAGCACCCATAGACAAACATCCCAACACCTTTCTATATTGCAGCCCAACACCCAGCCAAATCTACGACCAACAACCAGATTGGAGCCCAGGTCAATCTGCAAGTGCATTAGCCTTGCGTGGTGGTGCAGGGGTCTTGCATTATGCTTTATGCACTAAACCTGCAAGGACAGATGAACTGCTTTGAGCCTAGAATAGTAGAGCTATTACTACTTATCCGATAACCTTTGTAAATTTCTTTCGCTCGAGTAATTTCAAATTTGAACATTGTATTATACTTGTATGCAACGAGATGACTGCAAAAGTCATTTAGATTGTAAATTTTGAATGAATGCCCAATTGAGGTTAATGCTCTTTCATTCCCGTTCAAGTACTTCGGTTGCAAAGTATATCACGTGACCGAAGCGCGGAATAAGCGAAGATCTGTGCCAAGTACGGCGGTGATTGGATGTTTGAGGCTATAAGGGAGAAGGTGCCGGGAATATAAATTCGCAGGAGAAATCCAAAAGCAACGAGCAATCTGTGAACTTGTCGTTACGTCAAGCAAAATAAACATTCAATTCAGTACCTTTTCAGCAAGCTGGAATGACTTTCATACAACCATACTCGAATGAAAGATTGAACATGAATTTGATGAAATTAAAGGAGGAGTTGAATGAAAAGTTGGATGAGTTGAGTGGCAAGTTGGACGAGTTGAATGAGAAATTGAACGAAGTGAATGAGAAAGCAAATCAGAACACGGACAAGAACTCCATCGAAAACGGGTTAGAAAACCTCCTGGTCAACGAAAAGACAGACCAGCCCATTGATTCTGATCGAGTGAAAATCAACAATCGTATTGGTGATAATGAGATAGTCATCAAAGACTTCAACTACCAACATGGAGCCGACGAAGCCTATTTTGGAGTCGAATACAAAATTGATGACGCTGTAAAGCTGGCAGTGCAAGAGATTCGCAACCATGTTGTCAACCATAATCAAGAACGCAGTCGCACCGACCGCAACGTATGGTACAGAGAACACGACGCGATCCCCAAAGACTTTAATCCGATGGGACAGAGCCATAACGTCAGCATGGCCGCTTTGGACCAAATGATCAAAGAAGGAGTACAGGGACCTGTCGACGCACACAATGCGTTCGCAATCGGTATCAACAGCATTGCGCAGACGATGCATGATATATTCAAGCTTGGAATGGACATATGTGTACAGGAACAGGCCAAGGAATTTACGAAGAAACTTTTATTGGATGGGATCACCAAGGCATACCAGTCGATCCAAGAATCGACCCTCAGTATCATCAACATGGAAGAGTTGAAATACCTCACGCGGAGAGAGAAGACCGAGAAGGAGGACGAGGAGATATTTAAACAACGCGCCATGCCAGAATCGCAGAACAAGAAGACAGCGTTTGGGCAGGTTCGGAGTCCACCTATATTTGGTGCGTATAGATCGAGTTATTAATTAATGCTGAATCATAAAAAGGGTGAAGTCAAAATCCCGTCGATTCAAAATGCAATCAAAATGATCACAAAAGTCTTATTCACAGCTATGGTACACTAATGTCTTGCAAGAGGCATTTCTTTGAAGCTTTCGGAGTCAATTTTGAAATTTTCATTATTTGTTAATTTTGCAAAATTCGTACTTTCTGAGATTTATGCTGCAGAATGCGGCTCACAATTTATTCTTGCAACCAATTCGAATATAATTTTTTCCATTGTTTTCGAGAATAGATAGGGAAGGAAGTACATTCGTAACACTCAACTAATGGTGTTTATTAGACCAATGAAAGATGTATCAGGAACATTTGATGATATTCGATCGGTATTGCGATAGGTGGGAATTTCTTCTTTAGAGGCGCATCGAGATGTGGAACCATTAGGAATCGTGACTTAGGTGAATAACCATACAAAATATGACCAATTTGGCCAAATTTCCAGTCCATAAAGAATTTCAGTATCACATCGAGACGTTAACTTCATGGAAAGCCAAGTGGTTTGAGGCTACCTTCAATTCTTACTGAATCTGAGTGCTCTACTCGCTTGGAGACAGAGAAGATAGCCTCCAGAAGAGAAAAGATTATGCACTAATCAAGATGGAATAAAACTGTTTGAGAAAGTCAAAAGAATTTCCTAATGACAATTTCAAAAGTTGCAATCTCGAAGTTGATAGCTAAAGGCTCTTCCTAAAAGATCAAGTTGCCATATGAGCTCAACAGTCCCGCTGGTAAAAAGATCCTTGGTGACAAGTACTTTGACTTGGAGACCTTGGTTTATGAATGCGTTAAGCGATACGTTGATAACAGTTAAACTAGTAATGAATAAGTTAAAAGAGGTCCAAGTATCAGAACAGTAGAGTGATATTAATTGGTAACACTATGCAAATCGAACTTACTGAGAAGGTAATCCAGCGAACAAAGCTATTCGGTCCACCAATGTTACAAACTCAAAGATATTCTTGTAGAAACACAAAGATATTCTAGTACAAACTTAAGGTATTATGGTATTCGCAGAGTTGTTTATTGACTACTTATTACTCGCTTAAAGAATTCTTATTCGTAACGCATGGATCTATCACCTTCAAAGGGCCCCACCTCAAACTGATAATAGCATACCTCAAATTTTAGTCTTGAAGCTTATGATAATGCAACTAGGTGACTTGATGAGCTAGATCTTGGTAATCAACCAGAACCCACTGGCTTTCAAATGTATTTGAGCCAACTGGAACTTGTATTGAGCACTTGACTGAGAAATAAATAATGAGCGAACTAGAAACTTCTTAAGATAAGGAAAAAACTGTGTCGCAAATTTGCAGCCATTTTATAGCACTGGTGTACTGGTGTATATTCCTGATTGCAACAAGCTCTCCAAAAGCCCAATGGTAAAACCTTCCCTTTCAACTTTCTGCAAAGTGATTGCATTGAACCGCTGAAATTTGAAACCTGACCACCATTAAGAGTTTTATACGATATGCGCTCCATGCGAGTTTAACAGGTCAAGTATCGCTGACTTCCGTCACCACCTTGACCACCTACTTCGTCTCCCCAAAATCAAAGTTTAAAGTTGTAAAAATGAATTATTCCACATAACTTTTTAGATTCAGCAGACGGTTGATAACGCAAAATTACGCTGAATCTTCGACATCATTCCGCCGTAATCACCATTCCGTAGTCATCACTTTTTTCTTCCAATCCGGATTCGACCACGACTCAGCCTCGAGTTCGTAATTGGAATTCAAGCCAGCTCAAGGTAGAAACGATGACTTCTCGAAGGTGGGCTTAGCGACCCAACATGAGATCTGCTGATTTATTTTTTACTTCCCCATCTTTAGCGACCGACATTAGGCGAGCATTTAGCCGCCGAGCATCAGCACCAAATTTCAACGCCAGCCAAGTTACAACACTTTACATATACGCCAAGCCATTTCGAGACGCTTCAACGACTGGACCGAGTCAGCGCCGTGGGTAGAGTGTCGTTAAACAGAAATAAGTTAAAATTTGCAGGGAAGTCGCCTATATTCTGCCAAGTTCTAGTAGGATATCACGCTCAAGAGTCCAAAAGTTCAGTTTTGCTTCTTGTCTTATTAGTACTGCAAAGCTTCATAGCTTTAATGATATATGCAGTTTCAAAAATACGACTGATGAACCGTATTCATTCGAAGATCAATTCAATAGAGACATTCGCAGTAGCAAGCTCTCAGTCGAAATCTTTTCTTTTACATATCTATATCATTTTCTGCACCCATTGGCTGATTACTCTTGTAGTGGTTATTGAATGATTACTTATTGCATTCACTTAAGTTTGCTTAGCAACTACATATCAACCTTGTTATATGTAGCCAGTCAAATCTGGTTTCGGCGAAATTACTCGATTGAACCAATCGTATCTTGATCACATGTCATACTCAATTGGGCGATTGGGCCCCATTGTACTTTTGGTCACTGGCGTAAATGCTCAACTCTCTGGAAAATACCCTAGATTTTTAAAATTGCGAGTTACTACGAATTTTGGCGGATTTAGGTCACAGCCCCTCGATAGAATTTCAGTATCCAGTAACCATGTTTCTGCCTCGGCTCCGCACGTTTTCAGCTCGATTTACGATTGCAAACATCCATGCGCGGCGATAAAAGAAACCGCGAAATCCCGCCTATGTACGGTTGCAATGTCGCCACGACCGAAACAGGCAGGAGGGGATTTAAGATATCCCACGAGCCGCACCGCCTTGCAGTATGGATATCTCTGCGCAGCTCAAGTCCGATACGTACGCTCCTAACCCGCAATTTCCGCCTCGCATACACTCTTCGCTGGCGCCTAAGTTGGATTGCCGTTACAGTAAAAGAAATCTGCGAAACAATGTTCTCATACAATGGTTGATGTAAGCCACCGCTATTGTACTTTCGAAAATATATATCTCGTAAACCCATGTGTTTCATGCACATTCACCAACGTCAACCTAGTACCTCAAAGTTTCCTTCCAAATTTCCTTCTAAGCTTCCTTTCTAATGGAATTTTCCTTTACACCACTCGCTTGTAACTCGCGTCTAGTTTCATTTCTCACTTTATTCACCGCGCAGTGAATTCACACCAAATGTCCAAGAAATATTTTTTCGCTCGCGCCTCGATCTGGAAGACACTTCACAAAATTACATGATCCAACGACAGAACCAGTTAAAGTGATTTGGTGAATAAGCCACCAAGTGGGGTCATCGTTTTTTTCGAGCATTAACCTCTTGGCAAAACTAAACGAATAATATGCCTCTGTGCGTGAACAGCTTTTCACGGGGACATTTCTCAAAAAGTCTACCCTCTAAAGTTCTACTTCTCTGAACTTGACATTTCTGACCAAGTTCATTACTCGTGTTGCAGCCAGGCGCTTACGTAAGTCACATCTTTGTTAACCTTCTTTGGACCGAATATGGAATATTTTTTTCTCGTAAAAAAAAAAACTAATCGATGCATCATGCACGCGCCAAAATAATAGAATTTCTTCGTGATACGGGACAAAGCAATCTAGTTGGCGCAAGGTATCACGTTTTCGTGCACCACGGGCGAGAATGATTCCTTTTAAATATATACCTGTTTAGTTGTTTATCATCAAAGATTGATGTTGTACGATGCACATAGACGTGCATACGATACATGTACCAAATGACTGCTTGGGCAAGATCTAGCGAAAGGATGGGCCGGATAACTAAACCGTCAACTCGCCTGCCAAGATTCCCTCGTATGCATGACAAGATCGAGAATTTATTTTTTTCAACCTGACTCGTTCCATAATTCATGCATAGAGGGCTATGAATCCATTGTTCTTTTCGTGCGATTGGAGTTGCGTCGTATATTAAAAAAAATGCGAGTGGGTGCAATTGTTACAACCGTAACCGAGCCCACCACGAATTTGTTGAGCTTCTGTTCAAAAAGTGAAGGAATGCTGAGCAATTTGACCCGGGATCTCTCAATGAATGGAAATTAGTGGGCGGCTGGACCCTTTAGCTGTCAAACTATGAGGCGTCTATATCCTTATGGATCTTCAACAGAAAGTCGGGGTTATGCACGTCGCGCGAATTATGCATTCAGATAGAATAAATCAAAGAAAAATAAAGGGCAGAACGATATGATGTTGCATGGACCCCCTCATGACCTCAAGCCTCTCCCTCGCTGTAATTATGGAACGCAAGTCTGTTCCAGACTGAAATAAAGCTTAGCAAGAAGTTATTGTAGAGGTTCAGTGAAGGCTCTCATGCATGCGTATGCATGCGGATGCCTTTGATGCTCAAGCTGCACATCGAAAAAATCGAACATTTAAACAGTTGTCATAATTTTTATCGAATTCAAGTCCAGATAGTGATGAGTTCACTTGTAGGGCTCACCTTGCTTAGCTAGAGTCATATGAGAAGACGAAAAAATGTCTCTTTCCACAAAATCGTAAGTGAGTCAATGCAAAGGCATCTTTGCATCAACTCCACTGTGCGTCATGCATAGCACATTGTCAAAGTGCACGTCGTACATTATGCATTACGAGAGCTGTTGCATTAGAACCCGAAAAGGCATTGTTCTTTACGAAATGGGACTTCTTTCTTGGGAGCCTAGCTGCAGCGTATCTAATTACTGACTTGAAATCATGGATCCGCCTTGAAAGCTCCAACCTATAAATATTAAGGACGCCTTCATGTCAAACCAGTAATTACATCCATCTTTTGACATGCAACTCCATTTGAGGGCGATATTGTCCGCTGCCTTGCTGGTATCATCAGCGTTTGCAGCTACAATTTCTCAGGACACTACAACCCGAGGAACGATTGCAGCCATTGTTGGAAACACCGAAGTGAACCAAGGTGTATACTGGTCTATTATCAATAATGCTATCACCAACTTCTTGGGTAGTCTTCAAGTTGATGGTCAGCTTTTCATTAGTAGTAACTCGAACTTGATTGGGTTGACTGTTGAATTACTTGGAGTTCTCAACTCTATCACAAATAATGGTGATATTTCCTTCGATTCATCGAAATCACTTTTGGCACCAAATTACAACTTGGTGGGATTGCTGTTTACCAATAATGGTAACATGTGGTTGTCGGGAGATGGAAGTGTTGGCACACCAGTTATGTCCATTACGTCTGCTTCGTGGCAAAATAATGGTCTTATTGTCTTCTCTCAGAGAGTGTTGTCGAGTGGATTTGTGACATTGGGTGCCGCTGCTGGTTCAATCACAAACGCTGGAACTATCTGTTTGATCAATGAAGTTTACGACCAAACCACCGCTATTTCAGGTAGTGGATGTTTCAACATCGGTGTTGACAGTAATGTTTGGATTCAAAACTCCCTTTTATCAGTTGATCCAAACCAAACGTTTTATTTGAGTTCACCCTCCTCCAGTATGAGAGTCGAGGCATTGTCCTTGAGACAAACCTTCAAAGTTGCAGGCTTTGGAGATGGTAACATCTTGGGACTCAGTCTTCCAATCACTAGCTGGAATTATAATGCAGCCACCGGTATCTTGACGTTGTCCAATTTACTTTTATCACAAAGATTCAATATCGGTCTCGGATACAGCCTGTCTAATTTCGAGGTGATTACAACGGACTTCGGAGGTGTTCTTACCACTGTCATTAACGGAGGAATTAGATACAACGGTCCAGCTCCAGCACAAGCCACTCAACCAACTGCTTGTTCTCCATGTCTTCCTCAGCCCACGCCACCTGGAATTGACGATGTATCATCATCTGTTGTATCGTCGTCTGCTGCTTCATCATCTGCTGCTTCTTCGTCTGCTCCTGCTTCGTCGTCTGCTGCTGCTTCGTCATCTGCTCCTGCTTCGTCGTCTGCTGCTGCTTCGTCATCTGCTCCTGCTTCGTCGTCTGCTGCTGCTTCGTCATCTGCTCCTGCTTCGTCGTCTGCTGCTGCTTCGTCATCTGCTCCATCGTCGTCTGCTGCTGCTTCGTCATCTGCTCCTGCTTCGTCGTCTGCTGCTGCTTCGTCATCTGCTCCATCGTCGTCTGCTGCTGCTTCGTCATCTGCTCCTGCTTCGTCGTCTGCTGCTGCTTCGTCATCTGCTCCATCGTCGTCTGCTGCTGCTTCGTCATCTGCTCCTGCTTCGTCGTCTGCTGCTGCTTCGTCTGCTGCCCCATCGTCGTCTGCTGCTGCTTCGTCATCTGCTGCTGCTTCGTCGTCTGCTGCTGAGTCTTCATCTGCTCCTGCTTCGTCAGCCGCATCTTCTGCACCTTCATCCTCAGCAGCTTCGTCGTCAGCAGCATCGGGATGTGTTGGTTGCACTGAGTTCCCAACGACATTCGTCACCACCAACACCGATGGTTCCGTTTCCACTGAGACCGGAAACTATGTTATAACCACCGACCCCGCTGGTCTGTCGACAACTTACACCACTGACATTGGCCCAATCTGCCCACTGTGCACCCTGATCCCAACTACCTTCGTCACCACCAACACCGATGGTTCAGTCTCCACCGAAACAGGTAATTATATTGTTACCACCAACTCGGGTGGTTCGTTGACCACTTACACCACTGACATTGGCCCAATCTGCCCACTGTGTACGCTGATCCCAACTACCTTCGTGACTACCAACACCGACGGTTCAGTCTCCACCGAAACAGGTAACTATATTGTTACCACCAACTCGGGTGGTTCGTTGACCACTTACACCACTGACATTGGACCAATCTGCCCACTGTGTACAGAGATACCAACTACCTTTGTGACCACTAACACCGATGGTTCAGTCTCTACTGAAACTGGAGAATACGTGGTAACCACTGACTCGGCTGGTCTGTTGACCACTTACACCACTGACATTGGACCAATCTGCCCATTGTGTACTCTGATCCCAACGACTTTCGTCACCACCAACACTGATGGTTCCGTTTCCACTGAAACAGGAAACTACATTGTTACCACCAACTCCGGTGGTTCGTTGACCACATACACCACCGACATTGGCCCAATATGTCCACAGTGTACTGACTTCCCAACTACTTTCGTCACCACAAAGCCAGATGGCTCTGTTGCTACTGAAACTGGCGAGGTGATCGTTACCACTGACTCCGCTGGACACTTGACCACTTACACCACTGACATTGGACCAGTGTGCCCACAATGCACTGATTTCCCAACCACTTTCGTCACCACAAAGCCAGACGGTTCTGTTGCTACTGAGACTGGTGAGGTCATTGTCACTACCGATTCTGCTGGACACTTGACGACTTACACCACTGACGTGGGTCCTCTCTGTCCAAAGTGTACCGAGTTCCCAACCACCTTTGTGACCACAAAGCCTGATGGTTCTGTTGCTACTGAAACTGGTGAGGTGATCGTTACCACTGACTCCGCTGGACACTTGACCACTTACACCACCGACGTGGGTCCAGTCTGCCATGTGTGTACCGAGTACACCACGGTTTGCCCTGCTTCCACTGGAACAGGACACGAGACAAGTAAGGTGATCGTGACGACCTCTAAGGGTGAAACGATAACAACTACTGTTCCTTGCGATACCGTGGAGGACATAAGTACCACTGTTGTTACAATCACCAGCTGCAAGGACAACAAGTGTACTGCTGTTCCTGTGACCACTGGTTTGACAACCGTGACAAAGGCACACTACGTGTACACCACCTACTGTCCTTTGCCTACTGGATCCAACTCAGGATCTAACTCAGGATCTAACCCAGGATCTGGTTCCAACTCGGGATCTGGTTCCAACTCGGGATCTGGTTCTAACCCAGGATCTGGCTCTAACTCTGGTTTCAACCCAGGATCAGGATCCAACTCTGGTTCTGGTTCTGGCTCTGGACCAGCAGCTCCAGCAGGCTCTGGATCTGGATCTACTCCTGGATCCACCCCCGGCTCAGGTTCTGTGGCAGGTTCTGTAACCTCCCCTGCCGCTTCTGCCGGTCTGGGAACGTCATCTTCGGCAACTGTTGCGGCTCAATCCGTCACTGTAGCTGAAGGCGCTGCCTCAATTTCATCACCATTCTCCTTCGTGTTTGCCACTATGCTCTTCTTTGGCATGTTATTCTAAACATGAATCAGGATAATTATGATACCCTTTTTGTGCCTTTTTTGAGTATACTTGAAAACTCAAATCAGCATATTTATACCCTATTTCTTCGTTTGGACGTTCTTTCGTGAGGGCACCTTAAAAGCCCTATTGGACCTTGTTATCATTTTTTCATTCTTGCTTTACAATTGCATTCAATTTAGCTTAATACGATACATTTTTTTTTAAAGTTTTTGTCACGTAAAACAGCCGCATCTTTTGTTTTTTTGCCGTCACGCGCCTGGACGGCACATAACAGTAAGCTCGCTCTTGCCACCGATAAGAAAGCCGTTATATGCCGTACACGATTCAATGAAATTCTAAGGAAAGTTGAAGAGGTAATATAAGGTGGCTGGCATTAGACCACAAATTGTAACTGCATCCACTTTAATTCTAAGCTAAGTGATTAAATTGAAGCACGAAAAATAGTAGTAGCCCCGATTTGCAGTCCAATCAAACAAGCTTCAACTCAACTAAATTTCAACTCAATATTATCCACCATCTGGGCATAAACCCTATCTTTAAATAGAACTCCCCACAATAAATTAAACACCAGCTGCTGACTTCGCACCGATAAGACTTCACCCGTTCCTGCATACTCCACCGCGCTATATAAAGCGCCCCCAAAATCTGCTCTCCGCATTCTATCATGTTGGCCACCAAACTTTTGCTTTTGGCCGCCAGCACTCAAGCTTTGCTTATACCCAATTTGGAGGCGCTCTCCAGCTTCCCCCAGATCCTCAGAACAGAACTTGAAACTTCGAAGGAACAAGCTCCTTTTTTCGCTGGGGATGATACTGTGGCTCCATTGCTGATGGCGAAACCATCACTGTCTGGAATTCCTGGCCGCTATATTGTGGTTTTGAAAGACCACGCTAGCACAGAAGACATCTCTGAGCATTTGAACTGGTTGGAAGCACTTCCTGCCAACTTTAAAGTTGACCCTCTTGAGTCTGAGTATCTCAAGTCTTATGGGTTAACCAGAGATATTGTGTCTTTTAACGTTGAGGGTTTGAAGGGATATTCGGGGTTTTTGGATGAGGGTCGCGTACAAGAAGTCAGAAACCATCCTCTTGTCAAATTTGTGGAGCAGGAAACTGTGGTCAAATTGACTGAATTCGATGTACAAAAGGATGCTACTTGGGGTCTTGCAAGAGTGAGTCATCGCGAGCTCGAACCCTCAACCTCTTACTACTACGACAACGAAGGTGGAAAGGGTGTTACTGCCTATGTGATTGATACTGGTATCAAGGTTGACCATGAAGAGTTTGAAAATAGAGCTTCATGGGGAAGTGTGTTGCCGTTCCCATACTTCAAATTTGACGATAATGGTCACGGTACACACTGTGCCGGTACTATTGGTTCTAAGACCTACGGTATTGCTAAAAATGTCGATTTAGTTGCTGTAAAGGTTATGAATGCTTTGGGTTCTGGTGTCACTTCCGATATTATCAAAGGTATCGAATTTGTCGTCAACGCTCACAAGGAGCTGGTGGCCGCTAAGAAGAAGGGCTACAAGGGAGCCACCATCAACTTGTCGCTTGGTGGAGGAGAACTGACCGCTTTGGACTTGGCTGTGAACGCTGCCACTGCTGCTGGTGTGCATGTTGCTGTAGCTGCAGGAAATGACAACCAAGATGCTTGTTCGCTGTCTCCAGCAAGAGCCACCGGACCAGTATGTGTGGGAGCTTCCAACAATGCCGACGATAGGGCCTCGTTTTCCAACTGGGGCTCTTGTGTCGATATTTTTGCACCTGGAGAAGACATCTTGTCGACTTTTACCTGGAGTGAAACTACTTTGATGTCTGGTACGTCGATGGCCACTCCACATGTCGTTGGATTGCTCTCTTATTTCGCCTCGTTGTACCCCGACATCAACTCTGAGTTCTCAGAATCACTCATCTCGCCTGCTCTGTTGAAGCTGAAACTTATCAAATATGGTACTAAAGGTGTTCTCAACAATTTGGACAAAGCCTCGCCTAACATCTTGGCTTACAACGGTGCTGGTGGTAATTTGACTGATTTCTGGAGCTTATAAATACACGAGTAGTTTGCTTTTGGTGCATCATGGCGACGTTTTCAACTTCGCGAAACATGTACTAGTGGGTTCTGTTTGTACCATGTAAAAACACAAACCCAATAGTACTTAAGGTTCCATTTGTGGTGTTCTCATTATACAGAGTTATCACATTCTTGAGGTCTGTGAAAGTTATTTATTACTACAACTTTGTCTGAAACAACGAAATCAAGAGTTCTCAATCAAGCAATGCAACTTTATTGCCGCCCTGGATCTAATCCAGTGGTCGATTCTGACCCCGATTTCACCAAACTGTTTCCTCACTTTGTACCAAACTTTGAGTACAAGACCCTTACCAAGAAGCTGGTCTCTGATGGAGACATTTCAACCAAAAGCCCCACTGACGCTACTGACGGTGCGACCCTCAACGCAGTTGCAACCACTGATAGTGCAACCCTCAAGAGAGCAACCGCAGATAGTGCAACTTTGAATGCTGCTACCGCCGACAGCGCTACTCTCAATGCCGCAGCCACTACCGGCAGCGCCACTTTTAATGCTGCTACTTTGGTGTCGCCTGAAACCAAGTTTGTTTCTGTCGAAGTTCCAGCCAGGTCTGCTACAGAAGCTGCTACAGGACGAGTTATACGTTTACTTCCACCCATTGATCTTTTGCAAGAATGGCAAACTTGTCTTCGTATGACTGATGGCGACAACTCCTATGAGGAAAGGTATTTGCGCCAAGCAAGGGACCTGAGCTCGCTTCGTCCTCTTGTGTCTTCGAGCAACAGCTACCATTGTCATGCTAAAAATCTGGTGAGTTGCGGAGAACGCTCTGGACGCTTTACTCCCAACACTTCTCGAGGTTCTTCTGTGGCAAGTATTGTCGTTGTGGCCAAAAAGGCTCTGTCTTTCGGTATCCGGAGGTATTTCCACAAATTGCGCCGATTGGTGCACAGAAAGAAAGGTGGAAAAAGGGATAAGTTGAGGGCATTCCTCAAGAAGTTTGGCTCTTCAAACGTGGAAATCTCCTTCCATAACCCTTATGATGCTGCACGTCGCAACCTTCAGATTGACGACGACTTCGAATACCCTTCTTTTGGTCATGCTGGTGTTGAGGTTCTTGATGATCTCAATTATAAAACCTACATTGTTGATAATCGCGAGATTGTGGTGCAAGTGGGACCTACTCACTGGGGACCTGCCATTAGAGAGTCAACCGAGTTGATAGCTTATCAGGAGGAATTGTCGGTGTCGTCGGAAAATGAAATTTGCAGCCATTACGTTAGTGTCACCGACTTGCTCGAGGATTTCGAGTCTGAAGACAACGATGCGAACGAAGAACAAGTACAGATCTTGGAAGAACTGACTGGTATCGCACTGTCCATCAGCGAGATTGGAATTCTCAATCACGGAAGTCAAATCGATGACAGCCAGGCCTCCTCAGATGAGGTGAGCTATTCCGACATTGAGATGAGAAGATGGTTGCTCATGCAATGTGACGACCCCGATGCTTATCCCATGGCGGAACTGACGCATTTGGAACCACAGGAAGTTGTGGAAAGTTTGGACACCTCAATCAAGGATGAGGATCTTGAGGAAGCTAAGCAAGCGAGTGAATTGTCGGAGCTGCTGGAAGCCGAAGTGACTCCGGAATCGAGAGCTACTAACTCTAGTGACGAGGACCGTGACGACAAGACCAACGGTGATGATGCTGAAGCTGGTGTTGCTGATGTTACCGGCGGGCCTTCTGAACTGAAGGATACCACTGGACCGGCAATGTGCCTTCCTATGAAGCTTGTGATTGAAATGGAGCCTTACGATCCCCTTGCTGTACCTTGGGCCCACGTACACGAGAGGATTGCTAGGCACCGTGCGTCATTATCTCCATATACCCAGCTCACACTGTCGTTGTCTGTTGCTACACCTCCCACTCCTGTTGTTGTCTCTCCCAAACCTGTTGCTACTACACTTCCCACTCCCGATTCTCCTCCTGCTTTCCTTCCTCCTCGCACCAAGAACTTTCAACTCAACTTTCCCAAGATGCCATCTATTGGCAGGTTCTTCAAATAAGTGCAAAACTTTGCACCGAGGACATGTTACGATGCTATGACTGGATTATGATAAAATAAAACAAAAAAAAAAGAAAAAAAGAAAAAAAGAAAAAAAAAGAATTCTTATCCTTGGTTGGCTCTTCCAAGGGTTGGTTAATAAGTTGCAGACTTTGTGCTAGGTTGATACCGTGATGTGACGGACACAAACTAAAACACTAGGAAAAAGAGCATAGTTATAAAATAAAAAAAATAAAAACCTCTGTAGGAAAAAGCTGGCAGTTAGTAGAGAGTATCTTCTGAACTAGAGTTGTTTGTACTTGTACTCATCTTCAGGCTGGCTAAATTTATATTTTATGAACGTTCGCGAAAGTGAAAGCTGAATGCTTTAATACTGCTACGGTTCTTCAGATATCTATAGTGGTCGGTATACTTATTCTTGAAGTACGTCCCAGAACGGTACCATTTTTTTAAATCGAGCGGTAAAAGGTGCTTGAAAGTTGATGCAGCCCGGCTAAACTTAGGCAACTTTAATGCAACGCGGCTAATATACGGGAACACCAGAACCAAGCCAGGTTCATAAAAGGAGATGCCACAACATGAGCCAATGAGATGAGAAGGACAAATATCGCATCTTCTTGAACGCTCCTCTCAACATTCAATGGCAGATCAATGGGAAAATGCAGACGCTTTCTTAGCACACTGCTGTGAGCACAACGAAATAGACTTGAAATATGTTCGGTCCGACAGTTTTTATCGTTTGCTACGCCAGTGCGACTGGCTGGAAGAGTCATTATATGAAGCACTCTATTGTTCGAAAACATCATCGTTCGAAATCGAATTCGATCGCTCCTTGGCTCGGACCTGGGAAATGGATGAAAGACTTTTTCTGAAAGATTATCAGAGCAATACTTGGAGTATGCGAAGATATCCACTTGTCCTTGGAAAAGACCATGCGAGGTATCACTCTTATAGCCCGAACCTGCGAGAGGACGATGCACGGAGAGGAACAAAGTATATTGCGCTTGCAAAATCAGAAAGGAAAGGCGTGAAAGTTCAAGCTGATATTGTGGCTTCGCGTTCAGCATTGGTGGATCTCATGTTGTCAGGAATAAATGGTACCAAGGCTCTGGCATGGATATATGCCGTTAATGACCAACTTTTCTTGGAAGACGACGAGAGGAGTTACTCCAAGAAGAATCGTTTTTTCAATCCACATGCAATGACGGGACTCAATTTCGAGGAGTTGATGACAGTCAGACAGGAAATGGTTGATAACAAATTTCGCTTTAAGTGGACCAAAAACGACAGTGAAAAGTACTACTCTTTAGTACGACATGAATCACTGTTAAACGACTCCATATTGGTAGCATGCGAAATTGATGCAGTAAAACCCCAGAAAAGAAGAAACGTGAACCCGTATCTGAAAGAACGATTCGGTCTTAGCAGTCCATTTAAACATTTGGACCGATACGTTGAAATCAAAGCAAGGGTATACGAGAAACGTCACTCGGGAAACCTTCATTCTGCGCTCATCCAGTGTTTTTTGGCTGGTACACCTACACTCGTCGTTGGTATTAAAGATGGGCTCAAATTGATTGCCGTTATGGAACGGAATGTCAAAAATTCACTTGGACGCCTAAAACTTCCCAAATGGTTCTTGGACCGCTGGTTGATCTTTTTGGTTCGGTTCATCAAAGGTTTTATTTTGAAGAAACGCAATGGAAATCTTCAATCGTTTCACTTTCATGTCAATGGTTCGAAGCTTGTAATTCGGGAACGTGAAACAACTCGACTGGAAATTGAGGCTGCTCTCACAAGCGACTTTCTCAAGTGGAGAGAAGAACACCCTCAAAAGGGTCTGGAGGATGAATCGGCGGAAATGGTTAACAGTCCAGAGGATGAGTTGACGGGATCGGTAAATCCTCTCAGTCAAGTGGATGAGTTGGCGGACTTGGTTAGCCCTCTCAGTCTTAAAGACAGATGCATATTGTCGTGAATTTATATCGTGAAATGACATTATAGAAGGATACCTGATAGCATATCGTGCACTCTTTTCATTCTCACTTTTCCTTACACTTACTCTTCAACTTTAAGTGGGCATCCATGGCCCATGAACATTCATGTAAAGTACGTTGAATTTACCTGAGGCGTACAAAATCATTAGGCAAAGATCCAAATATCGTATTCAGCAAGGTGGGATTGCCCGTTAAAGGCTGCTTAACATTGTTAGATATGTATACCACAGTGATACTCGTAGTAGAGATTCGCAGGTCCCACAAGATGTTATATACACAGGAAAAGTAGGTGCAGGATCAAGCGATAAAAGGTGCGTGGAAGTTTATGAACTTTGGCTAATCTACGAGACTTTAAGCGGGTTGGTGAAAATAACCAACGCCAGAACTAATAAGCCCACTTATGGCCCATAAAAGGAGATGCCACAAGCGGTAAACAGTGAACGAAGAGAAAGAAATCAATTCAACTATCTTTAATGGCTGCTGATTGGGAAAATGTGGATGCTTTTTTAGCACACTGCTGCGAGAACAACGAAATAGACTTGAGTTATGTTCGGTCAGAGAGCTTTTACAGTTTGCTACAAGAATGCAACTGGGAAAAAGATCCATCATATGAAGCACTTTATTACTCGAGAACGAAATCCTTGAACATAGAATTGGACCGTTCTCTGGCAAGGACGTGGGTGATGGATGAGAGACTCTTTATCGAGGATAAAGATACCAAAACCTGGAGCATGCGAAAATTTCCCATCTATATTGGATATGGTCATAAGAAGTATCAGGACTTTCGCCTCAAGGTGGTCCTGCTAGAAGACAAAGCACGAACGGGAACAAAGTATGTTGCGCTTGCCAACTCTGAAAGAAAAGGCTTAAAAGTTCAAGCTGATCTTGTGGCTACCCGTTCAACAATGTTGGACCTCATGCTTACAGGAATAGACAACCCCAAGGTCCTGTCATGGATATACGCCGTTAATGACCAGCTCTTCTTGGAGAATGACAGAAAAAGAGGATACATGAATCCAGCTGGAATGACGGGACCCAATTTTGAGGAGTTGATGACCGTCAGGCAGAACTTTGAGCGCAAATTCCGCTTCGAGTGTGCTAAAAATAACAATGAAAAGTACAACTCTTTAGTACGTCATTCATCGCTGATGAAAGATTCCATCTTGGTATCATGCGAAATTGATGCAGTAAAGCCCCAACAAAACCATGATCTGAAAGAACGGTTTGGCCTTGACGATCCAGTCAAAAATTTGGACAGGTACGTTGAATTTAAAGCCAGGGTACAAGGGAGATTTGACTTAAAGTACTTTCATCCTGCCCTCGTTCAGTGTTACTTGGCTGGTACGCCCACACTCGTTGTTGGTATTAAAGATAGACTCGACTTGATTTCAGTTAAAGAGTGGGATGTCAACGAGATTCTTCTTTCTGGACGAATGAAGCGGCTCGAGAAATGGTTCTTGGATCGATGGTTGATCTTTTTGATTCGTTTCATCAAGATCTGTATTTTGAAAAAGCGGAATGGGAACTTACAAGCATTTTGCATTGAGCTCGAGGGTTCCAAGCTAGTTATTCGAGAACATGAAAGATCTCGGCTAGAGATTGAAGCGGCCCTTACAAGCGACTTTCTCAAGTGGAGAGAAGAGCATCCTCAAAAAGATCTGGAGGATGAGTTGGCAGATTTGCTTCGTCCTCTCAATATTAACGAGAACGAGACGTAATTTTCTCCCTATATAATACTAGTTGCAATGTGCATGATCAGGAGGAATTTTCTCCCTCAAAAACCAATGTAGCCAACTAAGATTAGCCATGCTACTCAAAAACTGTGCAGTAGACTTAGAATGACAAACTTGGCCGCTTCTGTTCTCATTTATCAGTCAAGGTATCCTTCATACATCGCATTTTTGCACCCAAAAAATCACGTCACATGTGCAGCTGTCAAAAGTTTCTTTTTTCTGTCATACTCAAAAATTTTATAGCTCTGCAGGATCAAACTTGCACCCCGTTTGGGACCTACATTAACAATGGCTTCTTCTTCAGAGAGCCATGACCTACCTGGCACGGCGGAAAAGAAATCAAATAGCATCAACAACTTTGATGTTGTGGATAGCTCTGACTTTGCGGAAGTGAGAGAGGTCAAATTGAGCTTTTTCAACACTTTGGCATCGAAAATCAATGTTGAAACCAAGGGAATAGAGCCAATCACCGATGAGGAAAAGACAGAGAACTCTATTGTGAATGCAGCTACAATGTGGCTTTCGGCAAATTTGGTGATTGCAACTTTTGCACTTGGTGCCTTGGGTATCACTGTTTTCAACCTTGCCTTTTGGCAAGCAGTGCTTGTGATCATCTTCTTCTCTATGATCGGAGCATTCTCCGTGGCATTTTTCTCCACATTTGGACCCAAACTTGGCTTAAGACAAATGTTGCTTTCCAAATACTTGGTAGGAAATTATGCCATGAGAATCTTCGCAGTCATCAATATGGTTGCTTGTGTCGGTTGGGGAGCAGTTAATATCATGTCGTCTGCTCAATTGTTGAATATCGTCAATAATGGTGCATGTCCACCATGGGCTGGATGTTTGATCTTGGTTCTTTGCACCATCTTGGTGACTTTCTTTGGTTACCATGCAATTCATTTGTATGAGAAATGGTCCTGGGTTCCCAATGCTGTTGTGTTCATTACCATTATCGTCAGGATGTCAATGTCGGGAAACTTTTCGTTTGGTGACTTCAAAGGCGGTTCAGCAACGGCAGGAAATGTCTTGTCTTTTGGAGGTGCGGTCTATGGATTTGCAACCGGCTGGACTACTTATGCATCTGATTATACCGTTTATCAGCCCAGAAATGCCAATAGTGTCAGGATCTTTTTTGGCATCTACCTTGGCTTGTACCTTCCGTTGATTTTCACTCTTATCTTGGGAGCAGCTTGTGCCACGGGAACCCTCACCAACGCCAGATGGCTGGAATTGTACCAAACGAAATCAGTCGGAGGATTAGTATACGCTATTCTTGTCGAGAACTCATTGCATGGATTTGGACAATTCTTATGTGTCGTGTTGGCTCTCTCTACTGTCGCCAACAATATTCCAAACATGTATACCATTGCATTGTGTGCCCAGGCTGCTTGGTCTCCTTTGGCCAAAGTTCCTCGAGTAATATGGACAGTCTTGGGTAACTTCATAACGTTGGCTATATGTATTCCCGCCTACTACCAGTTTGAGGAAGTTATGGACAATTTCATGAACTTGATAGGATACTATTTGGCCATCTACGAAGCCATCTCGTTATCTGAGCATCTTATTCATAATCGTGGTGACTTTTCTCGATACGACTACAAGAACGTTGATTCGAAATTGGCATATCCAGTTGGATATGCTGGTGTCTTTGGATTCCTTTGTGGAGTAGCTGGTGTGGTTGTCGGTATGAACCAAGTATGGTACTCTGGGCCCATTGGACGCAAGATTGGAGCACCTGGAGGTGATATAGGTTTTGAGTTGGGATTTGCCTTTTCTTTCATTGGGTATAACTTGGTTAGACCGTTGGAGAAGAAGTACGTAGGACGTTAGCAAGATTGCATTATAGATAAAATGACTTATAGATAGAATAACTTATAGATAAATGACTTATAGATGGAGAAATCAGGGCGACTATTGAACCTCTCCTAGATCACAGATCTTGTAATAGAGCTGTTTAGTCATCCGCCGAGACAGCTTTCCCCAGATGGTGAACGCCAAGAACGATCCATTAACCACCAATGCAATCAAAAACATCATCCATGTCATGAACACAAGTCCGTCTCTATCCATCCAGTCGCTGATGAGAAAAGTGAACACAGTTGCCACGGCATTATTGATGAATGAAATCAAGACAATTCCTTCTCCCACGAGATTTGGATAACTGTCCGTGCAATATGTGTAGGCAATGCCGGTGATTGCAGCCATGGAAAATCCAAGACAGCCTTGACCCAATATGGCTGGCACGGCCCAATGAGCTTTATTCAGGAATCCCAAGCCGTATGCTAAAAGCCCGCAAAGATTGATTGCCACAGGTATAATCATGTTCCATAACCGGAATTCTGGCTCCATGATACCATTGTTCTTTCTGGAAAGATAGAGAGTAATCTTATCCACAAACCAACCTCCGTACAATAAACCCAAGACAATACCCACAAATAGAGCCAAGTTTGTGAGACCAATAGCCGAGTTCCCAAAGTTGTAAGGAGGCTCAGAGAACAATTGCGCTTGAGTACTGTTGATCAAGGTGAGCCACATCTGCTGCACAGCTTGAAGAATGCCACACCATACCACTGCGGGAAATGACACTAGGAAAAATGGCTTGAACATGACCCAGAGCCAGCTTCTAGGGTCTGCGTGGGCCAAGGAAAAAATGTTCATTCGATTCCAATATGGTCTTTTAGGAATCGATTGGTCTATGGAGGAATTGTCGTCGTCGTTGTTCAGCTCCACTTCCACCTGGGAAGGATGGCTTTTACCCAACTCTAAATGCTGGCTTTCACGACTTTTGATTTGTTCTAATATGGTGGATTGGAAATCATCGGGGGACTCTACCCTTCTAAATGTCGTATCTTCCATAGAGAAAACTTGCACGATAAATATCACACTGAAAATTATCACCATGATGTAAGGACACCATTCCCAGCCGAGTCCATCAGTAACGTAGCCTGCGGCCAATGGACCCAAAGCAACACCACCCAAAAGTGCAAATACAACGTATGACACTTTCGAGGCTCTTTGATGCTGAAAGTAAAAATCCATAACTAAAATCTCGATCAATGAGTACATTGGTGCCGAACCAAAACCAACAAGAGCAGATGCAGCATAGAGGTGGTTTACGCCGGTAGCTTTGGCGTATATAACGTTGCCAACGATTTGGAATACGGTACAAATCAAGTACACGAATCGCTTTCCAAGTTTCAAAGCACATGGTTGGAGCATCACACACCCCAAGGCTATGAATACAAAACACAATCCACTCATAATGTTGAGCTCATTATAAGTACACCCAAACAAGTCCACCCAGAGATCCCATATAGGACCACTCCAGATGGTGGAAACCGATTGCATGAAGCCCCAAAACGTGAGCAAAATTAGCTGGTATTCTTTTTTCCACGTCAGCCATCTTAACGGATCATTGATATCACTGCTGGGTGGAGGATGTAAGATAATATTACCGTTGGCCCCTTTTTCTACATCTAGCAGGCCTTCCATATCAACCAAATTAATGGTTCCTGGAACGTCATCTTCAAAAGATGAGACTCTTCCCAAGCCAAACATGAAAACTACATGGCGAAAAGTAAGCTTTTAACACAATACCAACCCCACATTTTTTCTTTCAGCCATTTTCGCGAGCCTCATCCTGCAGCACCGCTCGCGGCGTTACATCCAGATCGGCGCTGGCGCTTGCGCGGCATTACTCAATGAGGCAGGAGTATGCTATTTCCTAGCCAATGAAAAGCGATCAACGACAAAGAAGGGCCCATATGCAGACGACCGCTATCACTATTCGAATTGGGAAAGATAGCAGAGCCGCTCGCCAGATCGGTGCAACCCCGACAATGGGGTCGGGCGAAGCCGAGTTGCAAACTAGATAATAAACCAATGTAGGGTTTCCATTAATGAGCCAAGTATGAGGCTTTAAGTTCTCTGACTGCCATCTGCTCCGCGAACGTTTTTCTGGTTTCTCTCATACATTACCATTTGAAATTTACTGCGAATTTTTTTCGCGGCCAGTAATCGCAAATTTACCGGCAGCCAGTGCGACTCGCGGGCAGTCGGTGCGAATTGTCCGTAGCCGGTGCGACTCTCTGCAGGGTCCCGAAGTGCGATTGCGTTTGACACTAAATTGCTATCCATCAGTAGTGATTTCAAGCCTAATATATAAGCAGCGCAACCACTTGACTTATCCATAGAAGATGCCTGGCGTAGAGTACTTTCATATGCTCAATGGGGCGAAAATTCCCGCAGTGGGGCTTGGCGCTTATCTTATTTCACCGGCTGCAAAAATGGTAGAGCAAGCGTTGGACACAGGTTACCGTCTTATAGATACCGCTCAGGAATACGGTAACGAGAGAGAAATAGGAGAGGGTATTTCGGCGTGGCTCGAAAAGGACCCGAAACACAAGAGAGAAGATGTCATCTACACCACCAAGATTTTAGGTCTGAATCAAGGCTATAGTAGAACATGGAGTAGTTTGAAAGAGTCGCTTAACAAGGTGAAACAGCTTGGGTACATCGATTTGGTTCTTATTCATGATCCGCTCACCGGTAAGAAGACCAGACTTGAAACCTGGAAGGCACTTCAAGAGGCCGTTGACCAAGGAATTGTCAAAGCTATTGGAGTCTCAAATTACGGCGAACACCATTTAAAAGAACTTTACGAGTGGGAGGGCTTTAAGTACAAACCCGTCATCAATCAAGTGGAATTGAGTCCATGGCTAATGAGAAATGAACTTGTGAAATACTGTCAAGATTTGGGGATCGTTCTCGAGGCGTACTGTCCTTTGACGACTGGAGCCAAGTTGAATGATCCTACCTTGATAAAAATTGGCAAGAAGTACGGCAAAACTCCTGCTCAAGTACTTTTGAGATGGAACGTAGACAGAGGTGTGGTTGTCATTCCCAAGTCGCTGAATCACAAGCGTTTGAGCGAGAACTTTGATATCTTTGACTTCAAGCTAACCGACGAGGAATTCAAGGAACTTTCTCATCCAGAGGCCTATGACCTCTATTGCGGTTGGGATCCTGTGAAATCATCGCGCTAGAAGCGAGAGACTTAGGAACTTTTTTGAGAATGCTATGACCATGATGATGGATTTAATTTTCCAGCGCATCTCAGTAAGTCAGCGCATAAGCTTAGAGTCAATTCTCTTTAAAACCTTGAGGCACTTCCACGCACTGAGAATGGCTGCGAAAAAATTCCTAAGTATTTCAGGCACAGCTGATGAATCAACTTTACACTCTTCAATGGACATATGATGATTGGCGTCGTTTGGGTTCCTTTGGGGTTACGGTAGTATCGTGCTTCTTTGGTTATTCAAGCTTTCTGGTTACCATTATTCAGCGAGAATTGTTCTTTTTCACGTATGCAGCTCAATAGGAAAAGGCTCCTGTACTTTAATTGGTTATAAACTAGGATCATGTCCACAATTTACTCGCTATACCATTTAGGCTATGTTGCTTTTAGTCCAAATTGAATAAAACCTACTTCTGGGAAGTAAATCGCAACTCGCTTGAATTAACTAAAACGGCCACTTGCAGTAGCAACTACACGAAAAGTAGTCTTCTGAAGCAACGATCTTCTCTTGCGGAAGCAATAATGATTTTTCAGCAGCAACTAATAAATTTGAATGTCGTAAACTAAAACATTAATTTGGTATTGCTCAACCACAGAAGATGCTCAGGAGTGGAACTGTGGTTGGAATATACTCAGTGTGCAATATAGCTATCTCTGAGTTAATTGACCTTCCCCGAGTCGAAATCACCTATTTTTCACATTTCGTCGGTTGCCAAATGTTCTCTTGCTTGCTGCGCACAATATAGATAAAGTTACGCAAACGAGTTACACGTATAGTGCTATCTCGTGCACTCCTCGGATCTCCGAACCTTATATTGACGATCAGCTGGTGGCGGAACCTACGGACATTTAAACTCTAAGCCCCCTTCATTTCTACTACTTGCAAGTATTGATTCAAGTACAATGGCACCTCTAACAGCAAAGAACTGCTTCCCATTACTAAACGGCTCAAGGATTCCAGCTTGCGGTGTCGGAGTGTATCTTTTGCCTGCTTCACAAACTGCTGGAATTGTTGAAAAAGCCTTGGACGTCGGATACCGTCTTATCGATACTGCCCAAGAATATGAAAATGAGAGAGAAACTGGTGAGGGAATCAAGGCTTGGCTTGGTAAAGACAAGAACAACAAGAGAGAGGATGTTTTGTACACCACCAAAATTACAAATCTGAACCAAGGATACGATAGGACCTGGAGAAGTTTGAAAGAATCGCTCAACAAAGTCAAACACCTTGAGTATATTGACTTGGTGCTCATTCATGACCCTTTAAGTGACAAAAAAACTAGGATCGAGACATGGAAGGCATTACAAGAAGCTGTTGATAGTGGAATGGTTAAATCTATTGGCGTATCGAACTTTGGTAAGCACCATATTCAAGAACTTTACGACTGGGAAGGATTGAAGTACAAGCCTATTGTAAACCAAATCGAATTGAGTCCTTGGCTTATGAGAAAAGATTTGGTGGACTACTGTCAAAATCTTGGAATTGTATTGGAGGCATACTGCCCACTTACTACTGGTGCTAAATTGAACGATCCTACCCTTGTTAAATTGGCCAAGAAGTATAACAAGACGCCAGCTCAGGTATTGTTGAGATGGAACATTGATCGTGGAGTAGTTGTAATTCCAAAATCACTGAAACCCGAAAGACTTCCACAAAACTTTGACCTTTTCGATTTCAAATTGACCGATGAAGATTTTGCTGAACTTGCGCATCCTGATGCTTATGATGTATTTGGTGGATGGGATCCAAGTCGGTCCAAATCGTAATTAAAAATGTTGAATGTTTATCTTATGCAAATACTAATACATTATTTACCGTACAATCTCCTCTCGTACGTACCAGTTGTCATCGGTGACTAATTTTTTGTTGATGTCATTATAATAATCCCATGCATCCTTCCTGAATATTGGAAGCGGAGGTGTTTGTTCAGTATCGTAGTAAATACTATTATCCACGTCCACCTCGAAATCTAATCTTCTTTGAGCCGATTCATGAACAATTCGGAACTCATCCTGCAAACGAGGACTGTTGCAAGCTCCCTTTAATGTCAACGCGGATCCTTCTTCATCCTGGAACCGCTTGTTGGGCGAAGAGCTACATATCCTATCGGGGACCCAAAGGCGGATATCTTTCTGGTAATTGTGGTTCTTGAAACGATTCTTGGTAGTGTAGGATGTTTTTCCATACTTTCGAGTAAGAATGCGTGACACGTTACGAGGAATGTAAGCTTCTCCACCTTCAAAATAGGTGTGTCTCAATGGTAGAAGCTCTTCTAAAGTATGCCAATTCCAATTCTTGCAGTGAACAGTCATCGCCTTCAAGTCTTCGACGTTCTCTGACCCTTTAAAGAGCTTTTTGGGAGGCTTGAAGTTTGTATGTGCCAATGCTGAGATATCAATGTAGAGTCCAGTGTTGATATCGATAAAACGGGCATCGATGAAATTTCTTCCATTGCCCTGAGCTGTGTAGGTGGGAGCAACTTCCAAGTAGTATTTGCCGTTTCCATATCGAGGATTTTCGATTATAATCAGTCGGTTGAATTCTCGACCAAGTCGATCAAGATGACGTATTGGCATTTGAACATCGATATCTGTATCCCACGGCATATTGACACCGTTATATGACCAGCCTAAAAGCGAGCCGTAATTTATCCAGCTCGGTATATTATTCAGTTCGGCAAACTGGAACCATACACGAATCATATGGTGAATGACACTTTGACGCTCGCGATCGCCAATGAACCTCTTGAAAAAAGGATATGCTAAATGATGGGATCTTCCTTGAATGACATCGGTTATAATCCATGGATACTTGAAATAAGTGTCTGATTTTTCTATCAACACACTAGAGTATTCCAAAAATTGAAGGTATTCAAGATCTTTTGAGGAGATGGTGTTATTGTTGAGTTGTTCTTGCAAGTGGAAGATGTTTGAATCGAGATTGAAGATGAAATCTTCAGCCTTGATGTTTACCTCGTGTTCTAATGGTTTATAGTCGGCGACCTTAAAAGTCAAATCATCAGAGGTTTGAATTTTCATCATTTCGTTGACCATCTGGTCTTTATAGATATTGTAGGGAAGGTTGGACTCGCCTAAGCGCTTTTTGCCGATTACCGGAATATGCACAAACGCTTTGTCTGTCAGAATAATAACTCGCTCGGGTATTTCCTTAAGACAATAAAGATCGGCCATTCCACGATACACTTTTTTGTTGTAAGATTCCATGAAATAGCCATTCACATCGGCAAAGTTGCGTAGCACGCTATCACATTGACCCTGGGGGTATTTTTGCCGATACTTGCCGAGAATGGATTTGGCGGCTGACAAGTCGACCCAATCATCCCAATGAAAATACACTCCATATTTGTTGCCAAGGTCGGAAAAATTCATGAGCTCTTGGTTGTTGAGCCCATTCACATACGAGAAGAGCGCGTAGGTGATACTTCGAGGGTCGAAGGAAGACTGTCGATTCATGTGCAACGCATTCGCTTCCAACAAGTACTGGCTAATGTCATCAGATAAGTAGTTGTTAAGTGTGAAGAAAATGCAAGCAGCGGTTATCAATAGGGGAATTCCATGTTTCAACTTCTTGTTATATATTTTGGGGAACATGGTTGGCCCGTCACCGCTTCACGGGTTATACTCACACGACAAGATGAAACAGTTGAGGTAAATGGAAAGCGGTCTATAAGGTTGGAAGCATATAAATATCAAACACACACACGAGTTTTGGACACTAGAGACGTCTAAACAGCACTCTTGGTCAATGACAGGTCACACAAGTAAAATATTATCTTGAATGGCCAGTAATAGCAACTGGGCTCCGTGAAAACTGTATACAGGCACACCTGGTTATTTTTTTGCTTTTTTTGACTTTTTTTTTCCGTGCACTTCGAGGTACAGCCCACTTCGCGCATTGTAACATCGCTTAACTCAGCCACTACTTCGACGACGCCCTTAGACTAGAATGAAAAGGACACTAATGTTTACATTGCCCTGTATATTTATTAGACAAACTAAGCAGATTAGATAGAGTGAACAACCTAGGAATTTAGTCCAGATAACCAGCCTCGCTTGTTTTCGTGAAACGGTTAGGCAACTGGGGTTGGTGGAACGGCGCGAATTTCTTTTCTTCTTTGTTATCAAGGCACAGCATTAGGTGCAGGGGTGGGGGAGCAGATGAGTATGGAGTAGAGACGGCGGTGAAAAGGGGAAAGTTGCATAGCCACCCAAGTGGACCATGCATATTGACGGGTTAGATCGTTTGACATTATTTTGTTTAAGCCACGTAGGTTATTTATTTTTGGGAGTGGCTAAAGTCCCATGGAACCTTCAGCCTCGTCACACGAGTAAATACCAAATGCTTCTATTCATACTATCTATTTTCTAGGCTTATCATATAACCAAATTTATGATAACGGGTCAAAGAAAGATTGCAACCGAGTGTTGCGGAATACTCTCATACCCATGGTACTTCCGCGTATAAAGTCGAATCGCAACCGGGCATCAAGAAAGTCCTTGTCGACCTTGTTGAATCCTTTGCTCCAGGTTCGCAAGATTGTGATAGCGACAAGCGAGTAAAACATACCCACTATCAAATCAAGGCGCCAATGGTGATCCAAGTAGATGGTGGCCCACCATTGAATGCACACGAATGACAACGCCATAATCTTGAGAATAGTCCACCGAGAATAATAACTTACGAAATAAAACGCCATGACGGCCATGGCCGAATGCAATGATGGCACTGCTCCAAAAACAATTGGAGATGCATGAAATCCCTTAGAATGTAAATGGGTACCCATTTCAACATCTATTCTTGTCAATCCTGCAGCATAACCTGGCATATCATAATTTGCAGTCAGGTTTTCTCCATTAAGATGGATGAACCATGGAGGAGCGGTTGGAAGCAATAAATGAGTGAGCACGCCAGCTATGTTTTGCATGCCCAATCCAAAGGAAAATAACTTAAGAGCACCAGGAGCATGGAATACGTAGAGCCAAATGGCGGTAAATAAGGGAACAAAGAAGTGACCAAGCACGTAGGATGCCCATGCAAATAAGTCTTTGGCGGTGTAGACTTCAACGCGGAAGTAGTGTGCAATGTTGAGTAAAACCCAACTTGCAGCGGTAAGTAAAATTGGCGATAAGTGCCAACAATTGTATGGTCTATACAGACCGGTGGTCTGGAGGTGTTCAACGATTTTGCGATTGATCTCTGCGGTTCGGGCAGCAATCCTTCTGTGGGATAATTTGTGGAAGAAAACAAGGTCACCATGATGAACATCGTCCTGGAAATCGCCAGGAGCCGATGGGGTAGAAGAATGGTATTTGGCCAAGTCGAAAGTGCTCACCTGGTCTTCCAAGTCGGAAGAACCGCCAGAACTCATTTCAAACGAGTTGTCATCCAGGATTGACGATAATTCCGCGTATGCACTGGGGCGGTAAAACTTCTTATAAAGGAGCCAGGACACAGCGGCCAATCCAGTAAGAGTTATGAGGGACCCAATGGGCTTCTTCATGAAGTCGAACATGAAAATGTCCATATTCATAGCCAATTTGACGTGAATTGGAGGGCGAATTTTTTTTGGTATCAACCCAGCATTTTTGAAAATCATCAACCAAACGAACACCGGGGCAAAATTTATCCAGAAGCTCACCACAAGTTGTATCAATGACTTTTCGTTCAATCCAGACCAAAAGACGCGGTAAAGGAACTGAAATATGAACAAGAATGGCCTTACTAGAACACGCAAGATGTTCATACCCTTGGCTTGAACCGCAAAAAACAGCGGCATGGTGCAGGGGCTATGTTAAGATTATGAGAGGAGATAACCAATCGGTTGGGAAATTTATGAGAAACCCTCGCCGTGATGCCGTGATTCCTGGTAGTGGACAACTGCGTGATGTAAATACGAAAGTAAGAAAAAAAAACAGGGGGTTGGGTGCGGAGAAAATACAAGATGAGAGAGAGTTCCCCGAACGGAAATCGTCGGGTAAAAAAAAAAACTCGCGGCCGAAACGAGGACGGCTGAAACGCTTACAGACGCTAAGGGTCTATTCACTACATTCAGATGGTTGAGATTTATCTAAATGAAAAATTGCAACCATTCGCTCCGTCTAAGCCTTCCTCGCCTCTGCGTCGTGATCAAAGAGGGGGAAGTCACACGATCACTTTGTTGTTTGGTGTGTGCGCATTCTACAAAGAAAACGCGAGCGTAAAGATCAGTAAAGTGTAACTACAAGCTGTTGCAACACAATTGAACTCCCGTAGATAATCTTTTATCTGTTCAAGCCTCTGTCGCTAAAACGTCAGCCACCATGATATCGCCGCTCGACGAAGGCTTGGTCACGATGGCTGATGTACATCGACTATCCGCTGACGTAATCGCATAAAATAATAACCCTCTCTATATGATTGTTTGTTTACGACACTGGCCAGGTGTTGGGATGTGTTACACACGGAGACGGAAGCGGACAACGGAACAACGGAGTGGTCTCGCTCCGTCGGGAGTGCATATTGGCCGCGATGCCCCAACCGTGCTTCCTATTCGAGCCGGCTGTTGCAGCCATATATAATGCAGAGACATTTCTGGAGTGTCAATGGCAGCTACTTTTTCGTGGAAAGACATCACTGTGGAGGCCGGCGAAAAGCGGCTATTGGATAATGTCAGTGGTATTACAGCGGGAGGTACACATGGTGGTGGAACTCTCACTGCTCTCATGGGACCTTCTGGGTCCGGAAAAACTACCCTACTTCTGGTCCTTGCGAGACGAACCGGTGGACTTTCCTCCTTCGAGGTCACTGGGGATGTCAGGTATAACGGCCAATCTGCCACTCCGGCGCTTTTAAGGCAAGTTTCTCGCTTTGTGGAGCAGGAAGATCATTTGATTGGTCTGTTAACGGTCAAAGAAACTGTTGATTTTGCGGCCAAAATGCTGGATCAAAAAACAAGTCTTCTGACTCGAGCCGAGCTTGTGAATGACATTATAGAGTTGTTGGGTCTTACAAAGCAAGCGAATACCAAGGTGGGCACACCACTTCAAAAAGGTCTTTCAGGCGGTCAGAAGCGTCGCTTATCCGTTGCAAGTCAGGTAGTTACGAAACCACGCCTCTTGTTTTTGGATGAGCCCACTTCAGGTTTGGATTCGAAGGCATCATATGAGGTGGTTCAGACTCTCAAGCAGCTAGCTGTGTCTGAAAATGTTACCGTGATTGCTTCCATCCACCAGCCTTCAACACTGACTTATGAACTTTTTGATAATGTCATGTACTTACTGGAGGGCCGCGTGGTTTATACTGGTACTCGTGCTGGAGTAGTTGATTATTTTAAAGATGCTGGATATCCCATTCCCCCACACCACAACCCAGCAGAGTACATTCTTGATTTGACAAATACAGATTTCTCCAGCGACGGCTCCAATAAGCGAGAAATTGTGGACCATTTGGTGGATTTTTTTGCCGCCCGCAAAAGCGAGGATATATTCCAAGACAGCGATGAATTTGAAAAGAGTGGTGACTTAGATGTTGCCAAACAGCTCCCATGTATCTCACAGGCCAACAAAGTTACGAATCTTCTACTCCGGTCTTTCATCAAGGCTCGCCGAGACTACCTTGCCTACTATGTTCGGATTGTCATGTATCTTGGCTTGGCGGTAATGATGGGTACAGTTTGGTTACGACTCAGCTACTCACAAAAGAGCATTCAGCCGTTCATAAATGCCATTTTCTTCTCTGGAGCATTCATGTCGTTTATGTCTGTGGCATACATCCCTGCATACCTTGAGGACTACTTTGCGTACACGAAGGAACGTGCCAATGGATTATACGGACCATTACCCTTTGTTTTGTCCAACTTCATAATTGGGTTACCATTTTTGTTCTTCATTTCCCTCATGTTTGCAATTGTCACATATTTTATGTGCAACTTTAGACACTCGGGCTCGGGTTTCTTCATGTATGTGCTCTACCTCTTCCTTGATTTGGTAGCAGCTGAGTCACTAACCATCTTGATTGCCACTATCTTTCCCATCTTTGTGGTGTCCTTGGCCCTTACTGCATTTGCCAATGGACTTTGGATGGCAGTAGGAGGATTTTTGGTTTCCGCCAATGTATTGAACAAGTTCTGGTACTACACCTTTTACTGGGTTGATTATCAACGCTATGTCTTTCAAGGAATGATGTTCAATCAATTTAAAGACACAGTGTACACTTGTGGTATGGGTTGTCATTGCATGTACTCTTCTCCTTTGGAAAAGGTATGTAAGATCGATGGTAATGCAGTTCTTCAAGCATTAGGGTACGGTAAAGAGCAACATGGACTTTGGATTGGGCTTCTGATAGCCCTCATTTTTGTGTTGCGTTTTGCGATTTATATAGTATTACGCCTAAAAAAGTAATTTACAGCATCTCCGGAATTAACTTTGCGACCTAAGCCATGACATTTTAATCTATTCTTTCGCAACCAAAGGTTGTAACTTACGTGGTCGTGCGCCGGCAAGGAAAAACGTTCGTTTTTCTCCGGGGCCAACCGCCGGGTGACGTACCCCAGATTTCTATTTATCGGGTTGAAAATCTGACAAATTTCACCATGACAAAAAAGCTCAGCCCGTTAGAGAAACAGGCCCGCAGACCAGCATCGCGTGCCTGTTCGTTCTGTCACTCCAAGCATCTACAGTGTTCAAATAACCGTCCATGCAAGAATTGTGTCAAGCGTAACATTGCTGATCAATGTCGTGATGTGGAAAGAAAACGTGCCAATTACATGACATTAGCAGCTAAGAACAAGCAAGGATCACCCAATACCGTGCTGCTAGAATCCTCCTCGTCGCCCTTTCTGCCTCTTCACAAGGGCCATATAAATTCGCAATCACTGCAACCATTGGACCCTTCATCAGGTCGGGTGAATACGGACTTTTTTCTGCAGCTGGAAACAACGGTTCCTCTGCCGTGGCCAATGGATTTGGAACTGAAAGAAAGAACAAATGCTATTCTAAACACCACCGATGATGTCCTCAACAAAATATTGTACGATGAGCAGGCCTCTAAGGTACCTTCGGCGCAGGCACTGGAGATGACTCCTTCCAACTCTTCAATTGATGGAGTCTTCAACTCAAATTATCTCAACCAGGAGTACTTAATGTTGGGAGACATAATTCTCAATTCGAAACCAGCATCTCCAACTCCCTCTTCCACCTCTGAGTACCAAACTATACCGCCCAATGAAATGATGGGGACTGTGGATTACAACGAGGTGTATCGAGACACCAAATCTAAAAAATTAAAGGAATCTCGACCTTTCATTTCGCTTGGTTTCTCAAATCCTCCCGACTTGGATAATCGAAAGCTACCAGGTGAGATCAATATAGCCAATGAGATCATGGATCCTTCGAAGAGAGCACAGGTCACAACCACAAATGACTATGTTTCTCCGCTAGTCACACGCCATATCTACCAGCTGGTGCAAGACATTTATGCTAACAAGATCATCAACTATGAATATCCAACATCATATCATGCGCTCACATTCTTCCTCAAAAAGCGATTTCTGGGCACGTCGCTTCCACCAGAGCAAAAGCAACAGAAGCGAAATAATCTATTGATTATTCTCAAATTAATCGCAAGTTATAGACCCACCTTCATATCGGCTCACAAGTCTCTACTCAAGCCGTACGACTTGATGTTTTTGGAGATGACATTCCAGCGCTCCTTGATAGACTATGAGAAACTTCTGCATCTCAATTCGCTGCCCACAATCATATGGAGACGTACAGGAGAAATTGTATCAATCTCGGACGAGATTCTCAGCTTGCTCGGGTACTCGTTGAACAGTATACTCTCCAAGAGGACGTTTATTATGGAATTGATGTATGATGACGAGTCCATCATAAATTACTTCAAGCTCTTCAAGTCGGTGGCAGTAGGTAATCTTCACCTGAGTATCATTACAAGGTGCAAATTAATGAAAAATCCTGATCGCGATAGGTCTACCAGAGCATCTACGACGGGCACTGAACAGCAACTCACGGAGGCTGATTATATAGAGTTCTGTGCGGTATGGACAGTTAAAAGAGACTTGTTTGACCTTCCGATGCTAATAATGGGTCAGTTCTTGCCTGTGTTACCTGCAGGTGACGGGGTGAGGAGATATTGATTTTGCATCAACCTGATCGTTTTTGGTGAAATTTGACATGCGGCTCAAATTACGGTGGGGTGACATAGACCTGGTGGGGTGACAAGAATATGGTCATTCAACCAGTAATGAGCAGGTAAGTAGCCTGATTTGCATCAGCAACTGTATATAAAAGATACCAAGTGCTCCAGTAACCTCTAGTATACATCTATTCATTATCCATTCAGAACAATGTCAGCTTTGTCTATGCCTGCGAAGACTCTCCTTATGGGAGGGGCATGCTACGGTGCAGGAGTATTATATATGACTACAAGATATTACGACTCCTGTCTGTTAAAGAAGATATTTGTGCGCTCTGACAAAATCTACGAAAAAGTCAAGGTCGGACATCATGCCGGTGTCCCTCCACCATCACAGTAATCAGAATATAACTGTTAATGTAATAAATGTCATTACGTGCGAATACTAAAAACGTAACCGCCACAGTGGGGAAAAAACGCAACAATGTGCATGATAGTGGTGCAGGACTCACCACCATATATGCGCAGTCGAAACTCAAACAAAATATAAAACCATGCCTAAAGACCGGTATAGTTCGTAGCTTAAAAGTCGCCAGTAGTTTCCTCTTTGAAATGCTAGCGCCAATAGCAAGAAAAAAATTGGAAAAATTTTAAAAATATAAAATTGTCGTCAACGCCGTTGTGGAAAGATTTTTTGCCGTATTGGCGCTACGGATGGCTTTAGTAACTTCAAGCGTTAATTCCTGCAGGCACCACTGCCATGCATCCAAATGCGGAAAATTTGCTGCACGTACCTGCTGCTCATCTCTGTACGTAATGCATATAGCCACACGGACAACTGTACGGCAGGTGCTCAAGGCGGGCTGAAATTAATCCGTTCTCGGGAACGTTAAAGTTTGACCCTTATACGCTAATTTGTCAAACATGGAGAAAGACATAGCGGCACCTGCCGACTCTATAGCACCGAAGTCCGAGACCGTCGAGGCTTCGCACGGCTATAGCACTTCAAACGAAGGATCCAGAAGAAATTCCAGCGAATACTCATCGGGTTCTTCTGCGTATTCGTATGAAGTAGACACAAGAGGTCCCTTTCAAAGATTCATAGACTCGTTTAAGCCGATCAATCTCGAAGATGAAGGTATCGATACCTCAAATTTGTCCCCAATGGAGCAGAGCATCGTCGCTACAGCGAAACATCCTTTGGCCAGACGGCTTAAATCGAGACACTTGCAAATGATCGCTATAGGAGGATCTATTGGTACAGGGTTGTTCGTGGGTTCTGGTTATGCGTTGGCGATGGGTGGACCTGCCTCTGTCTTGATTGGATACTTGTTGGTTGGTTTCTCCATGTACTGTGTCGTCTACGCTTTGGGTGAGTTGTCGGTTCAATTTCCAGTTTCCGGTTCCTTTAATGCTTTCTTTGCGAGATTCGTCGATCCAAGTTGGGGATTTGTGCTTGGTATTTTGTATGCTTGTTCTTGGTTGGTTTCGTTTCCTTCCGAATTGATTGCGTGTGCTCTTACAATCGGGTACTGGAACACTTCAATCAGTCCAGCTGTATGGGTCGCTATATTTTGGGTGGCTATCGTCTCCATCAACTTTTTCGGAGTGCGGGGATACGGTGAAGCTGAATTTGTTATGTCTATGATCAAGGTTATTGCAGTCGTTGGCTTTATCATCTGTGGAATTGCAATCATTTGTGGTGCTGGAGATCAAGGATATATTGGAGGACGTTACTGGCACAATCCTGGAAGTTTCAATCATGGATTCAAAGGTGTTTGTTCCGTTTTTATTTCAGCGGCATTTTCGTTTGGTGGATGTGAATTAGTTGCATTGGCAGCAGCGGAAACAGTCAACCCAAGAAAGTCTTTGCCAAAGGCGACTAAGCAGGTTTTCTGGAGAATTTTCATCTTCTACATCTTGACTGCCATTGTTACTGGAAGTTTGGTCAGCTACAAGGATGAAAAATTGTTGTCCAATGACGACGTGACTGCCTCACCATTCGTTATTGCTATTCAAAATGGTGGTATCAAGGTCTTGCCAAGTATCATGAACGCAGTGATTTTGATTGCTGTGGTTTCGGTTGGTAACTCTTCCGTCTATGGGTGTTCAAGAACATTGGCTTCTTTGGCTGTACAAGGTTTACTTCCTAGCGCCTTTGGCTATATTGATAGAAGCGGCCGTCCCTTGATTGCCATCCTCTTCACAAACGCATTTGGATTGTTGGGATTCTTGGTCGTGAACAACAACGAAGGAGATGTATTTACCTGGTTCTTTTCCGTTTGTTCCTTGTCTTCCTTCTTTACGTGGGCTGCCATTTGCTTCACCCATATTAGATTTCGTCTTGCCTTACTGGCACAAGGCAGATCCTTGGACGAAGTGGTGTTTGTGTCACCCATGGGAATTTATGGATCAATTGCCGGTGCAGTTATTCTTATTCTTATTGTGATTGGTGAAATTTGGATTTCTATTTGGCCAATTGGCGAACATGCTGATGTTGTCCAATTCTGGCAAAACTGTCTCTCCTTACCTTTAATGATCGTAATGTGGGTGGGTTACAAGACCTACACCGGAACTTGGAACCATTTGTATATCAAGTTGAGAGACATTGACCTTGACACTGGAAGGAGAGAAATTGATGTTGAAGTCTTGAAGCAGGAAATTGCGGATGAACGCGAATTATTAAGGACAAAACCATTCTGGTACAGAACTTATAGATTTTGGTGTTAGGTCACTCGAGTGTAATAATGATACCCGCCTAATTGATAATTATTTGCAGTCTGATCTCACTCGTATCTTTTTTCGCGCTGTCGCTCATATTGTATTTACTCTAATGTCATAATGGATGGCACCAAAAGTATAAAAAAAGGACCTTCCGTTCTTGTTTATACTCTTCTAGCTTTCAATTTGATATTGCGTCTATACCTGACACTCTTTATGATCATTTCAGATTGTGATGAGACGTTTAACTATTGGGAGCCATTAAACCTACTTGTTCGTGGGTTTGGAAAAGAGACCTGGGAATACTCGCCAGTGTACGCTATTAGGTCTTACGCGTACTTGATCCCCTACTACATTGTCTCGCTACCTATTACCTTGCTCGGACAATTTGTCAAGTTCCCTCCGTACGTTCATTTTTACTGGATCAGATTGATCGCCTTGAACGGCTTTAATGTATTTGCAGAACGGAAATTGTTTGCCAGTGTTTCATCGTCATTAGGACCCCAGTGTGCCAATTGGTTTATATTCCTTTCATCCATTGCTCCAGGTATGTCACATGGTGCTGTTGCCTTACTTCCATCGTCACTAGCATTGGGATGTGTGTCTTTAGCAACATCCTATGTTTTGCTATATGTCACCACTCCTCAATTGCTGTCAGCATTATACGCAGTTGCATTCTTTCTGTATGGTGGGATATATGGCTGGCCGTTTGCTCTAGCTCTCGCTATTCCATTTGGACTTTTCATTTTTGCAAGCAGTATCCAGAATCCGGAGAACCTTTTGTCATTTGCCATTAGAGCTTTGGCTATTGTTGGTGCTATGACTGCTCTTATAGTCGCTATTGACTCAGCCTTTTACAAAAAATTGCTACTTGTTCCGTTGAACATTATCACATACAATGTGTTTGGCGGAGAAGGTGAGGGCCCCGAGATCTTTGGAGTGGAACCATTCATTTACTACGTTCACAACCTCCTCCTAAACTTTAATGCTACCTTGTTGCTCGCCTCTGCTGGGTGCTTCTTGAGTTTTGGCCTTCGATCTAAGCAGCGCACTAAGGTAATTGTGACATGTACATTCCCCCTTGCGATATGGCTATCAGTATTTGCCAGTCAAGAGCACAAAGAGGAGCGTTTCCTTTACCCTATTTATCCACTCATTGTCTTGAGTGCATCAGTGTTTCTTTCGTGGTTCCTCACAACTTCGACCTCCATAATCAGATCATTGACTTCAAGCGATAAGTTGACGATACTATACAAACAATTCTTCATCGTAGCATTTGCTACGGTGGTTGGACTGATTTCTATTTTGAGGATAATGAACTTAGTTGAGAACTATAGCGCACCGATAACTATATTCCGCCAAGTGGCCGAACTTCCTCCGAAAACAACTATAACTAATGTATGCGTTGGGCGCGAATGGTATCACTTTCCAGCATCTTTCTTCCTTCCCGACAACTATAGGCTAAGGTTTTTAAGGAGCGGCTTCGATGGGTTGTTGCCAGGTGACTTTAAAGAGTCATCATCGATCTTGGAGTCTACATCAACTTTTCCGGACGATATGAACAACAAAAATATGTTCTCAGCAGGAAAAGTGATTTCCCTTGAGCAATGTGACTATTACGTCGACAATACTGGGCCGATAGATGAAGAACTGGGTGAACCGTTTATCTTTTTGAACAGTGCTCATCCAGAAGTAGTTGCAGGCTGGGACATAATAGGCTGCGAGAAGATTATAGATCCCGCAGGCAAAAGCTCAGGCATTGGTAGAATACTTTGGGTCCCAGTCGCCATCAGGAAATGGGTGCCATACAATGTTGACTACATGAATCTTTGTCTCGCAGAAAAGAGGTCGCAGTAGTTTCTAGTGTATTTCTCAGCATCAAGCTTATTGAAGTGGGGTTCCAAGGTAGAACCTTGATTATATAGGACATATCAGAGCTCATCGTCAAAGTAGTCATTAAGAGCTTTCTTTGCCTGATCAAAATTGTCTCTGGCCTTTTGTAATGCATCTCCAATTAGCTTGATCCAAAATTCATCGTCGTCTTCTCCCAAACTGCTGTCTTCCAACTTGAAGTTGTCAAAGTTGATTTTTTTACCGTAATTCTGAATACGTTCACATTCGTTAGAGATTTTTTCGAGTCCCAATGCAGCTGCTGAACCTTTTAAATAGTGTCCTAGTCCAGATAGTTTGTCCAAGTTTTGTTCTTTTAAGTTCAATTCGAGATCATGACACGTTTCAACGAATTGGTCGACGAATGTTTGAAACAAAGACTTGGAGAATCCTTCCTCATCCTCATCCATTGCAATAAGCTCGGAGAAGACTGGCCACTCAATCAATCCACTTTCCTGGAGCTTGCTCTTCTTTTCTTCGGACATTGAGCTGTTAGATGTGTGATATACCAGCTGTGCTGTAAACAATTGCGTTAATTTATTAAGTTTCGCTAAACGGTTTGAAAGTCAAGTTCGTGTCCACTCACAATTGAGACTTCAAAACATTCAACGGTTATACGTTAGGGTCGTGTGTGCAATATTCCTTGTTATATTATTATCTACAACTCAAAATATCAAGAAGAGCTCTAGATTCCTTAGTGATCTGTATGTGACCTTTAAAACACTAGGTTTAACGCCGCTCCTCGATTGGTAATGACAGGGGACGGAGACAAAAAACGTCACTGACATCACACTAATTTGTTACACAAAGCCGTGCGCGCTCAAGTCTAGATCTATATTTAACACATCTAATTGTTTGGACCAGCGAGTTCATATATGTCGCCAATCTTCGAAGCGTAGTACGTTGGGGCCTCATTCGGGTCGAGTTGCTTCAATGACTCTTCAGTCTCAATGCCTGTCAACACCAATAACGTATCCAATCCTCCATCGCGACCAAACTTCATATCAGTATTCAACCTGTCACCTACCATCAACCCGCGTCCAGGTTTCGCTTGTAAATCAGGATTAGCAGCCTTGATAGAATTCATCATTGCTTGGTTTGGTTTACCGCACACTGCATCTGGCTGTCTGCCGCTTGCATATGCTACGGATTCGATAAGAGAGCCCGCACCAATCATGAGCTTTCCCTTCATCGGGAATGTAGAGTCTATGTTGGTTGCAATGAAGGGGATTGATTTGTTGTCCTTCAATAAATATTGCATTGTAGCCGAAAGCTTGATATAGTTCACCAGCAAAGTCAAGCCTGCGACAACTGCTCCAACTTCAGGGTCCAAGTTATTCACTGCTTCACTATCGGCGGGAAGAATACCGGTTTCGTCTAGCTTCGGGTCACTTCCACCGACGGTTGCGTACCCTAACTCTTGCAATTCTCTCTCAATACCTGTCTCTCCGAGAACCCATACTTTTTTGTCTTTTGGAAGCTTGAGGATTTTGTCAACATAAACTGCCAGAGCATACGAGGACCCAAAGATTTCATTCTCTTGAATTCCGGGAATTCCAAGCTTCTCAAATTTTCCTCTGTAGTCTTTACGGGACTTGGTAGAGTTGTTGGTGACAAAAATCACTCTCTTATCGAGTGACTTCAACAAGTCGAGTGTCTCTTTTACAAAAGGCAAGATATGGTCTCCCAACCAAAGAACGCCATCACAGTCGAACAAGAAATAGTCGTAGCTGTCTAAGAGCTTCTTTACCTGCTCCTTGGTAGTTATCTTTGAGGACATATCTTGTAGAGAGATTCAAATTTCAAGCAAAGAGCGGACCGAGTACAACCGAGTACTGCATCTGACAATATTATCTAGAGGTGACTACATCCAGTAAGGAACGGGCAAGAGTCTAAAATGGCCTTATTTCATTAATTATACAGTTATTTTGGTACTAGAAGACACGCACAATAGTTGATGTACCGGCCACTCGTTGAAAGTTTCTTCTAATTGCAGGAAACTTTTATGCAAAAGTTGACTTAAGGTTATCAAGACACCTTTCAGGCCTCTACCTCTCAGAGGGATGAACTCCGGCAACGTATCTAGGAAATCTAACCTTGGACTTGTCATTGTAAATTTCTTCTTCAAACTTGGCTCTCGTCTCTGGCGACATTGATTCCTTAACCAAGTCTTGTCTTGCTTTCTCAGAAAAGAATCTTCTAGCAGTATTTCTATCTTCTTCAGCAAGCAACAAAGGCTCCAAATAGAAACGAGCCCATTGTCTCTCTCTGGACAACTCTCTTTGCTCATCCACACCCTTATAGTATCTGTAAAAACCAAATGCCATGACTCCAGCTATACCCCAAAAGTATATGGAGGCACGAAATCCTCTCGAAGGAAGATTTCTTTTCCATTGTACAGGCTCATAGCCTCCGATAGGTGGTAAATCTTGCATTGCCAACAGATATGGTAGAAGTTAGTTCCGCGAAATTACTTGTGCGATTTGGTGAAAATCTATTGGCGGTCGTTGACTGCCTAATTGGGAAGTATGCTACATTTGGTCAGTATATGTTCATTTGTATTTTAATCAGCTACTTAATGTCGAAGACGGACTTCAATTTCTTGATCAAGAGCCAGTCATCTCTAGTAACTGAGTCACGGAATGCAGGATCCTTAAGGGTGTCAATAGATTTACGGGAGATCAAGGAGTACAAGTTATCGCTCTCGTCGACGTGACGACCCCAAGTTGGTTGGGCTGCCGATGGGTTTTCCAAACGCATGGCAACACCAGCGGAGGTTTGTCCTTTCTTCACGATATCCAATGACTTGTGGTTCACTTCCAAAGATACCACCTTTCCAAGAACCATAACATTGGGTTGTTTGGTAGTAGGGTCTTGACGAACGGCACAAATTGGCGTTCCAATTCTCACAGCACCTTCCAAGACATCGACACCAATAATCATAGGGTTACGCTTGTTAATGATTTGGATAGTCTTCAAAACACAGGGGAAAATGGCGTACTCAAGGAAGTCACGACGTCTTATCTCCATTAACTTCTCTTGGTAAGCGGTAAAAGCATCAAACAAATGGTAGATGATATCAGCGTTGAAGATTTTGATGTTTTGTTCCTCAGCATAGAGTTCGGCTTCCTTGTCAACCTTAACATCAAAACAAAGCATTACTGCGTATTCGGGAGCTTTTTCCAACATTGTTGTTGCTTTCATGACATCTCTCTTGAAAACTGGACCCAAACCAATAGACATAACAGGAATCTTCATGTCTTTTAAGAAGTCAAGCAAAGCTTCCAATGAACCCAAAGTAGAAGCTTGAACAACCACTCCCTTTCCAGAAGTATCAACAGAGTCTAACAAGCCCGTCAAGTCATCCATGACTTCTTCCATAATTTCTTCCTCGTCATCCCCTTCGTTGACCACAATCAAACGAGATCCAGCCACAGCCTTTTCTAAATCGTTTGCAGCAATCTTCACACCTAAGGCAGCTTTCACTTCCTTATGGTGCACATACTCAGACTTAATTCTCAATTCTCTTGAGGGTGGAGGAGTTAAAAGTGCTCTGATATTTGTTGCAATAGGTCCATTCAAACCACATAATACCACTCGGTCTCCTTCCTTTAAGATACCATTTGAAAGAACCACATCAATGGTGTAGCCGAATCCCTCAACGACCTTGACTTCCAAAATGGTTGCTTCAACCTTGGACAAGTACATCAATTGCTTCGACATTCTCTTCTGGGTCAACTCGAGTAATAACCACAATAAATCAGGAACACCTTCTCCGGTGACAGCCGAAGTAGGAACAATAGAGACGTACTTCGACAACGACTTGTTTTGGAAATACAACTCGGAGTTCAAACCCTGTTCAGCTAATGCGACTTTAATCTGTTCAAGTCTGCTCTCGAACTCAGCCTTTACAGGCTTCTTTTGTTTGGCAAACGAGTCACGGAAAGAGTTGTTTGGCGTTGAGTCCCAGTCGTACAACCTATCTATCTTGTTCAATGCAACAATAAAGGGAGCTTTCCTGTCTCTCAATAACCTGATAGATTCGAGTGTTTGTTGCTCCAATCCATGCATTATATCAATCACCAAGATGGCAATGTTACACAAGGACGAACCACGAGATCTCAAGTTAGTGAAAGACTCGTGACCTGGGGTATCGATAATCAACAAACCTGGAACTTCGAATGTTTGTTTCTCGAACTGAGACATAACAGCGGTTTTTTGCTTGATGGCATCAACAGGGAAATACGTGGCACCAATCTGTTGAGTGATACCTCCAGCCTCACCTCCTTGAACATTAGTTTGACGGATCTTATCCAATAATTTGGTCTTACCTGTATCAACATGACCTAAAATACAACAAATAGGGGATCTTAAATCCTTTTGAACAGGAGGGGCGGCACCCTTCTTGTTCGAAAGAGCTTTCAGTTCCTCTTCTTGCTTCCTTCTCTCTTCCTCTGCCTTTGCTGCTGCTTCCTTCTTGGATCGGATCTCTTCTTCTTTTCGCCTTTCGGCCTCCTCTCTTGCTTTTTTTTCCTCCTCTTCCTTGGCCTTTTGAGCAGTGATTTCCTTTTCGTCAACATTGTCTCCGTCCTGGTCAGCATCATCTTCCAATGCCAACTCCCAATCATCGGCAACCGGTTCGTCGATGGCCATAGCTTCCCAATCCTCCACTAACTCTTCCTCGTCATCATCTGCAAGATCTTCTTTCTTCGATGCTGACTTGTCATTTTCAGGCTTGCTTGGTGCCACGAATTTATTTTCAAGGAAATTCTTGGTCTTGGAGGATTTCTTCTTGGTGTAAACCACCTTACTTGGACGAGCTGACGGTTCTTGCTGCAATCCAGGAATGGAAACATTACCCTGTAATAATTGTTCCCTGCGGCGTTCTTGTAATTTCTTTTCTTCCTTCTGTTTCTTGGTTAAAAGTTTACCTTCTGCCTTCAACTTTTCCTTCTTCAAGCGCTCCTTTTCCTTCTTTGCTGCTCTGTCAGCCTCTTGCTTAGCTTTCTCTTCTTCAGCACGCTTTTGCTCTTCTACAAGGCGCATCTCTTCTTCCTCCTCGAGACGTCTTTGTTCCTCTTCCAACTGCTTTTTGAGTTCCAATTGGCGCTTAAGAGCAGCAAGACCACCAGGTACTTTCTTACCTGCCTTCTTTGGTGCTGGCTTTGGTTTCTCCTCTGTCTCTTCGGGTTCTGGGGTTGGTGTGTTCGAAGATGCAGCTGCTGCTTGTTGCTTGTTGGCTTCCTTAATCTGCTCCTTCTTATTAGCCTGCTGGGCCTTCTTCTTGGCTGCCTGCTCTTTCTTCATTTGCTTTTCAGCCTCTTTTTTCAACTTTTCTTTCTCCTTTTTGGTCAAAACCCTAGGTCCATCCTTTGCCTTGGCCTTCTCATCTTCCTTTTCTTCCTTTTTCTTCTTGGAACTACGTATAGATGATAAGAAATCATTCAGATCTTCCGCAGACTCTGGTGTTGCTGTATCTTCATTAGTAGTCCCGAATTCTTCGGCTTGTGGCATATCCTGAGCCAACTCTTCGTCGTCCCAGATGTCGCCACCGGCGGCTCCCTTCTTGCTTTTCTTCCCCATTTCAATTAATATGAATTAGTTATGAGGGACACTAATAGTTGGCGATGCTCAACCTTTTTTTTCCAGTCCTTGACTTCGCACGACACTAATTTTTTTCAAGCAGAAGTTTCAGAGGTTGCACTACAACTCTATTCAACATGACGACGGTGGAAAAAATCAAAGCCATCGAGGATGAGATGGCCCGTACACAAAAGAATAAGGCCACCTCTTTTCACTTGGGTCAGCTAAAGGCAAAACTCGCGAAGTTGCGTCGTGAACTTCTCACAGATGGATCCTCTGGTGGAGGTGGAGGAGGAATGGGATTCGATGTGGCGAGAACAGGAGTAGCAACTATTGGTTTTGTAGGGTTCCCATCGGTGGGTAAATCTACGTTGCTATCAAAGTTGACTGGCACACATTCTGAAGCTGCTGCATACGAATTTACGACCTTGACCACTGTCCCTGGTATCATTAAGTACAAGGGTGCAAAGCTTCAGATGTTGGATTTGCCTGGTATTATCGAGGGAGCCAAGGATGGTAAAGGTAGAGGTAAACAAGTCATTGCCGTGGCTCGGTCAGTTAACTTGTTATTCTTAGTGTTGGATGTGAACAAACCCTTGCAGCATAAGAGAATCATCGAGCACGAGCTAGAGGGAGTGGGAATCAGAATAAACAAGGAAAAGCCAAATATCGTCATAACAAAGAAGGAGAGGGGGGGTATAAATATCACAAACACAGTCCCTCTTACACATTTGGACAACGATGAAATCAGAGCGGTGATGTCTGAATACAAAATCAACTCTGCCAATATCGCATTTCGGTGCGATGCCACCGTCGATGATTTAATCGACGCAATCGAGGAGAAATCAAGAAGATACATTCCAGCCATTTACGTGCTCAATAAAATTGACTCGTTTTCAATTCAGGAATTGGACTTACTTTATAAGATACCAAATGCTATTCCAATTTCGTCTGGAAACGGTTGGAATCTTGACGACTTGCTTGAACTCATGTGGTCGAAATTGCAGTTGGTGAGAGTATACACAAAGCCGAAAGGAAAGCTTCCAGACTTTTCGGAGCCCGTTGTGCTTCGAAGTGATAGGTGTACAGTGGAGGACTTCTGTAACTCCATTCACAAATCGTTAGTTTCTGATTTCCGAAACGCATTGGTTTACGGTACATCCGTGAAGCACCAGCCTCAAATTGTTGGTTTAAGTCATCAGTTGGAAGACGAAGATGTCATTACAATTCTCAAGAAATAGAACTGAAATGTATATAATGTCTATTAATAGTAAACCATTGACCCTATAGCGACCTTCAACTTCTTGTGTGATCACGTGCGCGCTCAACGAGAATTTTTCAAACAGTGATACAAAACGAATACGTCGCTGGCAGTTACCCGTGGATGCTGAATTAATTCAGTCATCTTCAAGTTCCCATATATTCGTTTATTTATTCTATGACCGCAGTTACAACTAGCCGTTATTAGTATTAAACCGAATTGTTAACCAGTAGTATGTCATTTATTCCAGCAGAGGCCCAAGCTAGTTTGGCCGAGTTAGTTACTTATTTGGCCTCTGCCGACAATGCATTGAGATCGAAGGCTGAGCAAACCCTTGATTCAGAATGGTCACTGGGTAAAGAAATTGAGATGCTTCTCTTATATTTGGCTGAAGCCGCCTGTACCTCGACGGACCAGACAATACAAGCGTTTTGTGCCGTCTTGTTTAGAAGGGTTGCAATCAAGTCACCAAAAGAATGGTCCAATGTGACTGATAGAACTATAGACGTGATAAGTGAGCCTGTTCGCCAACAGATACGTTCGACGTTATTGAATGGATTCCTCTCTGTGAAAAGCAAGCAAATACGCCACAAATTGGCCGATGCAATCTCTGAAGTTGCCAAAGAGGACTCGTCACCGGCTGGAACTTGGAATGATCTTCTTCCATCTTTAATTGAAGCTACGAGACACAGCGATGCCAGTTATCGTGAGTCCGCATTTCGTGTCTTTTCAAATGCTCCAGAACTTATCGGTAAAGAAAATCATGAGGCAATACTCCCTGTTTTCAATGCTGGTTTTGCAGATGAAGATGACGACGTCTGTGTTGCGGCTTGTACTGCCTTCGTTGCCTTCTTTCGCGAGCTTCCTCGCAAGACCTATGCATCACATGCTCCGTTGTTACCAAACCTTATGAATTCATTACCTCGTTTCCTACAGAATGGTAAAGACTTTGCATTGTCGTCTATCTTGGCTTCCCTTATCGATCTTGTTGAATTGGCTCCAAAAATGTTCAAAGATATGTTCCCCACCATTATTGAGTTTTGCGCTGCCGTGGCTAGAAACAAAGATTTGGATTCAAGCGCAAGAATGGGAGCCCTTGAATTGCTAACAACATTCTCTGAAGTTTCTCCTGCCATGTGCAAGAAGACTCCCACGTTTACCAATACCATGGTCGAGATAACGTTGCTCATGTTGACAGAGGTCTGTATAGACGATGATGATGCCGCTGAATGGAACAACAGCTCCGATCTCGACGATGGAGAATTGGAGCCAGAGTATGACGCAGCTCGTCAAGCCTTAGATCGAGTATCTTTGAAACTCAATGGAATGGCCATCGCAACTCCCTTATTCAATTATTTGCACATATGCTAATACTGTCTGACGATTGGAGGCAAAGGCAAGCGGC